TGGAGCTACTGCGAGCTTTGATTCATGGGTATTAGATCGAATATATGGACTTTGATCTCATCCCACGCAAAAAGAGCAGAATGCAGGACCAACCGCAAAACCTACGCTTTGAACGGTTCTGTCACATTATCTGGATCTCGTCGTTCTCATTCAACCGCTCCGTTCAACAACCTTGCGAACGCCAGCTTCCGAGGAGTTCATCCGGCGGAGCAGTGAAACACGTACGACTTCAACCTGTCCAATCAAACTGTTCAGCGGCCCTTCCAATCTGTCCATCTGAACGCAATATCGTGCTATATCTCCAGCCATCGAACTCTCCACTTGCTGCCTGCGGAGGTTTCTTTGTGATACATTGGCCACCGGCACTGTAAGTGAATCGCCTCACACAACATGGCACCACAGAGACGCGCGAAACAGGACTCCAAAGCATTTCTGCGACTCTGCTCTGCCCAGAGCGCTGAAAACAGCGCAGAATTCCCCCCCGGGCGTAGTATGCAACTGCGCACCTCTGTAACAATGAGACCAAGCATCTAGCCCAAATGCACCCGCGAGGCAAACGAACTCTATGATGAGAATTCCATCTATCTCTTGGAGGATGCCGCACTCCACCCTCTACGCCTTCCAACCCTCCCCCCTCTATGCCCCAAACCACCCCTCCCTACACACCCCCCACCTCCTCCCCACCCCTCAAATAAAACTCACTCTCCCCCACCATCTTCCCCCTTCGTTCCCACCTAGCTCTATACGCTGCCCGCCGCTCCTCGCACATCTTGACGAGCGCAGGCCAGTACAGGGAGTGGTCGTATTCGAAGTCGGCCTTGCCGCCGTAGTGGCTCCACAGCTGGGCAGAGGGGACGTGGCGGTCGAGGGGCTCGTTGAATTTCATCTTTGATTTTGTGATGGGGTCGATGAAGGGGGAGATGAGCTTGAAGAAGGTTGTGACGTACCAGGGGACTGTTTGTTTGGTTCGTCAGTTAGCAACAAGACTCAACGTGTCGAGGCAGGGGTAGGGTGATGGAGATGGAAATAGGACGGTGAGTGGGTAGAAGACAAAAGGTATGAAAGAGAGAGAGAGAGCTGGGTAGCGTGGAAGGCCGGGGGACATACGATCACTAACAATCGCCCGTCCCAACCTCTCCGGATAATGGCCCTGCAAAATCGCCAGCGTCGCCTTCCCCTGCCCCACACTCGGATTGCTCCCGCTCGAGCTCTCCTTGAAATTAATCAGCAGCGCCATCGTCTCCTGGCCCGCCGGCATCAGATCGACCACCCGCTCCAGCATAAACACAAGATGCTGCAGCTGCCTGTCGCTTTTCTGGGTATTCTGCTTCCCGGGATTCAGATACAGACACGGGCGCGCGTCGTTGTCGAAGCCCAACACAACCTGCTTCCCCGTCTCGTTCTCCACGCTGATGTAGTCCGGCGCCTGGGTGTGGTTCGGCAGCGAGGCGTAGAGCCCGTATTCGCGCCGCCAGGTTAGCGTCTGTTGCAGCCGCTGTATCGCGGTGGGTACGACCCATTTTGTCGCGCGGAGATAGCGCAGGAGACACTCTTTCGTGAGCCAGAGCCGCTCGTCGTCGAGGAGGGGCTCGTGTTTGGGGCTCCGGCCTGAGCTTGTCGGGACGGTCGTCCAGGCTTGGACCGCGGCGAGGACGTCGGCGTATTTTTGGGACTGCTCGGCGCTGAGGGGCGGGTGGCCGGCGGGCGGGTCGGGCTTGCTGGTTGGTAAGGGGTGCGGGATTGGTGTTCGTAGGGGGCCGGTGGGTGCGGGAGGTACGGTTGGGAGCGCCATGGGCTCGGTGGAGGGGATGTGCGAGGGGATCTGCGAAGGTTGCTCGGCGGGGGTGACGAAGCCGGAGGCGGTGGACGTCGCGGAGGAGGATGCGATGGGCGCGGTGGTGTCGTTGAGGCGGAGCTTCTCGTCCAGGACGGTGGCTATATCGCCGTTTTGGCGCTGAGGGTCTACTGTGGTCGACATTGCAATCTTTCTTTCTTGATGATATGGTGAGGTGCTTTCGCGCAATTGATGCTGGACCCGATATAGCAAAGACGTCAATAGCGAGAGGAGCAAGGGGGGTTGCAGTGTACTGCACACTGGACTACTGGACTACTGTACTTGGAAGTAGATATAAGTAATCTCAACGGATCTGCATCTCACCGCTGGACCCTGAGGCTGCCATCTGATCTCTTTGCGGATGACGACCAGCCTTGACGAGCACTTCCGCTGATTAGATAAGATCAGATCCAGTCGCGTCCACTTCGACGTGTTCGCGTACTAACACCATCAACCACCAAGCACGCAAACAACAAATTACAGCAGGACATACCGACGACAATGGCAGAAACCACAGAGGAATTGAACGAGTTCTTCGCTGCGCCATCATCGGAGCTGAGGCCAGAAGTATTGGGAGAACTCCAGTCCATCTTACGGCTATACTCGATATCCCCGCAGGATCTCTTCTACAAATGGGAGTCCTACAGTCTGAAGATGGGAGCGGAGGACACAAGGCTAGATCTAAAGACGGCGAGGAATTTTAAGAAAGACATACAAGACACTCTGGAGAGGGAGTCTCGAGGCAAAGCTCATACGCGTGGGCAAGAGAAGAGAGGAGTCGGTGCTACACCTCGCGCTGCGGGCTCTTCTGATGTTTTTGGGATGTAAGGATTGTCGTTCGAACACGGTTTATACAGTAAAGCTCAATCTGCTTCCAGGCTTGACAACCTCATACCGAACACGCCCGCTTCGAGGGCGGTCAACGGCAGCGCTGCCAAAAGAAAATCCAACTTCGAGACACCTCTGGCAAAGGCTAGTAAGAAAGACATCCGAAGTTCTCCTGGAGGACATCAAACCCCTGATACCGTAAAGGCCGCGGATGCAGCACCGTAAGTCACCACCTAACTCGAGTGACCTCCATCAATCTCACACACCATCTCAGCGTGACCTCCTTTGCCGATCGAGCGAACGCCGGCCAAACAATCGAAACACTCAATGCCCATATCGAACTCCCACCTCCCTCCTTAAATGGCCCCACAGAACCCCGCATCAAATTCAAAGCCAACACGGAGCTCACCAAATTCGCCTACAAAACCTCCGCCATGAAGCTGTCCGAAGCGTCCGAGATCCTCGACGACCGCATCGACGGGTTCCTGTCCCTCGTCCAACTCCACCACCAACTCGAAGACACCGCCTTCGGCAACCCCGCTGCCCAAAGTACGAGCGAGATCATAGCCGTCGGCCGCATCGCCAGCGACACCGCAGAAGGGCGGCTCAACGCAGCCAGCCTGGTACTTGAAACCAGCAGACGCACCGGGGCCGGTTTGCGAGTACCCCTAAAAGTAGAGCAACTGCCCAGCTACGAGTTCTTCCCCGGCAAGATCGTCGCGCTGCGCGGCAGCAACGCGAACGGCGACTACTTCACCGTCTCCGAAGAACTCAGCATCCCGCTTCTCCCGCCCGCGGCCTCCTTCCCCGCCGAGCTGGACGCCTATAACGCGCGCCTCGCCCCCACCACCTCTGCCGCCGACGACGACGAGGCCGCCGCATCCACCTTCCCACGCCCCCTGACAGTCCTCATAGCCTCTGGTCCCTACACCCCCGCCACAACCCTCGACTTCTCCGCCCTCACAGCCCTCCTCTCCACAGCCGCCTCCACAAAACCAGACGCCCTGATCCTCTACGGCCCCTTCCTCGACGCCGAGCACCCGGCCGTCATAAGCGGCGTCCTCGACCTCCCGGCCTCCTTCCCCATCCAGCCGGACCAAGCAACCCTAACAGACGTCTTCCGGTACCACATCTCGCTCCCCCTGTCCCAACTCCTCCAATCCTCCCCCTCCACCAATATCATCCTGGTGCCTGGTGTCAGAGATGCAGTAGCCCGCCACGCCGCCTTCCCGCAAAACAAACTCGACAGGAAGGAGCTCGGCTTGCCGCGGGGCGTGCAGTGCGTCACGAACCCCGTCACCCTGAGCCTGAACGAGAGCGTCTGGGGTTTCAGCAGCCTCGATGTCCTGGATATGGTGCGCAGGGAAGAAGTCGTGGGCGGGGCGGCGAAGGCGGAGAATCTGTTTGTGAGGGCTGTGAGGGGGGTGGTGGCGCAGAGGAGTTACTGTCCTGTGTTTCCGCCTACGGCGAGGGAGGTGTTGCCGGGGCTTGAGGGGGTCGATAATGTGAAGGGAGAGGAGGATGGGGAGGATGGGGAAGAGGGAAAGTGGTTGCCCATGGGCGCGATGCTGGATACGAGTTATTTGAAGCTGGCCGAGTGGTTGAATGTTAGGCCGGATGTGCTGGTTTTGCCGTCGGTGCTTACGCCGTTTGCGAAGGTGTGTTCTTCTACAGGTTGTCTGCCGCTTGGTTGTGGTTATGCTGACACGGGTACTAGGTGGTTGAAAGTGTTCTGACGATTAATCCTGGCACACTGAGCAAGAAGAGGGGGCCGGGTACGTATGCGCGCGTTACGGTCTTACCGGCTGCTGTCAGTGATGAGGAGAGGGAGAAGGGTGAGGTGTTGGGGCACAAGATGTTTGAGAGGTGTCGGGTCGATATTGTAAGGATATAATCTTATGTCTGGTCACGGTGTGGCTGGTTTGGCGCTGTGGAGTCTGGCATTGGCCTGAAACTAGCCGCTTTGGATACATCTTATTCTGCTATTTTCAGTTTCACAGAAACGCGCTCTGTTGTCTATACATTAACCTACACCGAGACATGCTCGTTAATCCACCATCGAATGATGTCTTGACGCGCACGTCGGAGCTCCAAGCCGTGTTCTTATTGACCTTTCGCTTTTCCCTGTCCTGACGTTCTTCTCAGACCACTCTCAACAGCGGGACACCTCATACGCAAGCCCTCTCCGTAACTTGACCTCTGCTCCTATGACCTCGACAGCTGTTGCCGTATTCAGCACCGCTATTTCATACACATACCATCCCTCGCCCCACCAACGCGCCTCAGTAGCAGCAGCAAAGCCAGCCACTCAGCACCCAGCGCTTCTTTCCCCGGCGAACCCTATCCAGCAAGCTGCTCATACGCGCGCAGACGAGAACGCTCGACAAAGTTCGAGCTCATTACCAGCGCGTCGGTCAGGTGCGCGTGGGTTTTGCTCAGTCTAGACGCTCGTGTGTCGGTTTCGGTACTAGATCGGCTTGTCCTAACGCCTCGTAAGGTGGCTGACTGCTTGCCCAGTGTCTTGGTAGCACTTGATGGAGAGTGAGCGTGGGTGGAGAAGGTAAGGAAAGTGGAAAGGACGGCGAGCGGATGTAGAGGAGGGAAAGGCGTTGAGGGTTGGTCATGGAGGTCGGAAGTGTGGCGTCTGGCGATGGATTGTTGGTGATGTCGGCGTCCAGCGAAGATGAGATGAACTTGCGCTGCACGAGCACTGTGCAGTTGCGCGTACTAGGGCGTGCTGTCAGCCTCAGTGGAAGTTCGTAGGGTCGTTGCTAGGAGATCTTTTTCTCTTCCGCCATAGTTTGCTTACATGCTCGCGTGAATATAAAGAACCGTTTCGCAACTATAAGAAAACAAAACCAAAGTGAAAGCACAGGATACGTTAGTAAAATTAGAAGTGAAGTAAAACAGCAAAACTCATCCCCACCACGTTCCCATATCCCTTGCGGGAAAGGTACTCGCGGCTGCCCGATGCGCGGGATGAGAAACCCCAGTGCCGGATTGAATCCGGCACTGCCGAGTGGGGGTTTTTTCCGGAGGAACAGAAGTGGGAGATGAAAGAAGGTGAGAGGAAGAAGAGACAAGGTGGAAAGAGTGGGACAGAAGCCTGGGCCAAGCCTACAGGCGGGATTCGAACTCGGGGGTCTGGAAATTGAGATTAGATGACGTCAGAAGAGGAAAGAAGGGAGGGGGGTTGCTCACTACGCCACGCGGGAGGGAGGGTGCGGCGGTTGTCGACGGGGAGATTGGTGGGTTGCGCGTTATATAAGGTGGGGGTGGAGGGCCGGGGTGAGCTGCAAGAGTGAAAGGGCGATTTGTTCCCTGGGAGATGGAAGATCAGTCTTGAGGCCGGATGAGTGTGCTGCTGTGGTCCGACACCTAATCGTTCTAGTCTGACCTGCATGAATTGGAGATTGTTCTGATCGTTAATTGCGTTGTCTGAGATTCAAAATCCAAATCGACAGACGGAGAAGCACTGTATGCTCCATTTTGCGTTGCGAACGAGGAAATTCGAAGAGCGGCCTGAGAGATTTACGAGGTCGAGGAAGACAAGCAAAAGGCTCCCTTTTTAGATGCAGCGCGTCTCAATGTATGCCATTGCATGAAGATGAGCAAAATGATGATCTGACTGTCGAAGTTGAAGCTGAATGTACAATGAATCTTTACCTCCTAGATACTCAACCTTGGGACTGGCAACCCATTGAAATAACAGACCCCAGCATCTACGCAAAGCAGCCACAGGGAAGTCCCCAGATCTCATCTTACAGCGAAGTGACCAGACTGCTGCTGGTCAAGCTCCTCAATCAAAACGCCATGCCAGACCGGGCCCCAATGCATCCTGCAACTATACATGCGCTTCCTCCACCTCCTCTCAACACCCAACTTCACATCCACTGGCTCAACGCATCCCTCTCCTTCCCCTTCTTGCTCGCCCACTCCGCCTGCCCTCCCACCTCCTTGATGGCCTCAAGCTTATCCCCCATCTTGACGACCGAGTACTTGATCATCCGGGGATCGAGACTGAGCGTTCTCCGCACGCTGTGCTGTGTCTTTGCAGAGGAGTCGAAGCGCATGATGAAGTAGTGGCCGCTGGTATGTAGCTGCTGGTGCTTGCGGTATGGCTTGGGCAGGAGGAAGGTGCCCCAGTTGGTTATGCCGCGCACGACGCCGCCGGCGTTGAGGACGAGGGTGCCTGCTGTTTTGGCGATTCTGCGGCGTGTAAGTGAGTTTTGGGTTCATGGACGTTACGGTACTTGTATAGACGTCTGGTATACCGTGCTTCGGGAGAGGATACGGGACATACTCTTTTACTTCGAGGACTTTGCCTGGTCGGACCTGATTACCACATTAGCTATATGTCCTCATTTATGAGGCGAAGCTACTGACCACTCCTATTAGTTCGTACAACATCTTCGCAGCGGCTGATGTTGTTTGCGAATGAGTATCGCTCTCTCTTCCCCGTCGTCGACATTTACAGCCCTACCGCATCAACATTTCCCCGCTCGCAGACCACTGATTCGCCGACATTATCCGCAACCCGTCATGTTTGGGGAGAGCTCTAGCTGCAGCTTCAGCCTTCAAATACATATAAAATGGCAGCACGATTGTCAATTGCGCGGGCAGTCTGCCAGATCAGCTCCAGGCGCACTTGCGCGGCGTTTCGGCCCGTCAGAGCGCAGTGGCAGCAGCCGTATTCTCGGTCTTTCTCTTGCTCGATAGCTGGTGCGTTCCCCGCCTCGACGGAGCGGTTGGATGCAGAGGGCGCGGAGACTGACAACGACACGTAGCGCGGGCAAAGAAATACACGGAAGATCACGAATGGATCGAGCTCTCCTCTGACGGCAAGACCGGTACGTCCTACTTCCAGCAGCCCCGCTCCATCTTCCCTCCCAGCAACTTCAATCTCGCTGCAGATTTCAGACAGACCCAGAAGGCACTCAGTTGACACCCCCGCAGGCACCATAGGCATCTCAACCTACGCCGCCAACGCTCTCGGCGACGTCGTCTATGTCGAGCTCCCGACCTCGGACCTCGAAGTCAAAGCCGGCGAAGCCATCGGCGCCGTCGAGTCTGTCAAGTCCGCTTCCGACATCAACTCGCCCGTGTCCGGCAAGATTATCGAGGGGAACAGCGTGCTGGAGGAGAAGCCGGGCACGATTAACAATGATCCTGAGGGCAGCGGGTGGATTGCGAAGATCGAGGTGGCGGATAGTGGGGAGATGGAGAGGCTGATGGATGAGGGGGGTTATAAGGAGTTTACTGAGGGGCTGGAGTAGGTGGGTGGATGGAGTGCTTATGGAGCTGGGAAGCTCGAAGGCCTAGTGTTCTACTCCTTGGAGCCATTCCTTGTCCACGAAGAGATAGAGGACGAGTACCAGCTCACACTGTGCTTGACTGGTTTCAGGAGCGTACATGAGACTCGGTGGAAGTGGGATGCCCCAGAGGCCTTGGCGCAGGATCATCTTGATTCCATTCTGCTGAAAGATGGGATGAGAGCCAAGACTACATTTAGGCAAGCGAGGAGCGTAGCTCTGAAGCATGCGAGAAAACCTAGACATCTCTACGAGGGGAACATTGACAGCAGAACACCCGCGCAAGTCCTGAAGATCCACAATCGAGTAGCATCGTGTTCCGGCTTTCAGCGACTTCACGGTTCCGGGAGCAATAAACGGTTGTTTCATGACCCTTCTGGAGAGACCGCCGAAATACGGCTAGCCGACGACATTAATCACGGTGTTGTGAATTATATCACACCGCGAGCTGCAGGAGAGGAAATGTAAACCGTCATCATAGCGCCCTTAATCATCGGAATTTCTAAGCTCTCTACCGTCTGAGATTTATAGCTACTCAACTTATGCCTAAGCGGCCTGAAGCCTCCCGCGGCCGGATTGACAGTAAGTGTATGTGAACCGCCGTGTGTGGGGTGTAATATTGTTCACAGACGCGTGATTACCTGCAATACCTCATTCAAGCAGTTTTAGAAACAAAGTTATGGATTTCGGCGTACTTCCTCACTGAGCGGTAGATGATCACGTGCCTTCGCGAAACCTGACGCCGCGTTCGTTCGCGAGATCGATCTTGGCGGCGTCACTTCTAGCAGAACCTCGCCTTCACTTTACACCTTGTTGAAACACCATTTATGTTCCTACGCCTTGCTTGATACCCCTCACATTCGACTGTAGATTCACCCACCCCATCATCGATAGCTTCCGCGCTCCTCTAACTAAACCGAAAACCTCATCCACGCGCGGAGGGCGCCTCCGACCTTCAATGGCCCCCGCAACGCCCCTCAGACGCTCCGCGCGGCAAAAACACCAGACCAGACTCGCCTTCACGCCCGTTCCTTCGTCGTCGCCCGCCGCGATAGCCCACCTATCACCCAATGTACGAACGCGCGCCGCCGCCGTAACCCTCAGCGGTTCGCCGAATCTGGCCAAGAGGCGCAAAGTCGCATTCTCAGCCCATGCGGAGGAAGACGGTTCAGAAGATGAGGTGGACCACACACGAGATGCGCGCCATGGTGATGAACTTGCGAAGGGTCTGCCGACGCCTGAGCGCTCCTCACAGGTTAAGAGTTTGGGAAGGCGACATCAGCCGACTGTGGAGTCTGGCAGCGAGAGCGAGGAGGCGCGTGAGGGCGAGCAGGAGGGAGAGTCAGTTAAGAAGGTATGTGGGCTGGTGGGCGGTTTCCTATATTCTAGTCGCTTCGTGGTTTGGGGACGGCCCCTGGTGTATGCAGACATCACTGGTCAATCTCTAGTGTCCTCCTGAATACGAATGGGGGTCTTTCAGGACGATCGCGGATCGCAATGCAATCATCACAGCAGTCGTATATTCTTAGAGCACAGGCTGCTACCTAGCTACAACTAGCCTGCGGTACCGCTGACACCTGCTTCTTCCCAGACGTCGAGACCGTCGGTCAAGCGCAGAATCACCCGGCAAAGCAAGATTAACTTCGACCAACGTCAGAGTGAGGAAGTAGCAGAACACAGACGTGCAGTTCGGTCGATAAACGAAGCAGCCCCGGTACAGGCGAAGACCCGTCTGCGATCAGGACCATTCCGAAGCACTCAGCAGACGATTGAACTGTCCAGCGATAGCGATACATCCTTCTCGGACGTTGACCTACCACGTAAGTCCCCGCTTCCCGCCTTTGTCTGCTTTGTTTGGACGTTCCATACTCCATGCCTCAAACGCTAACCTGTTCATACAGGCGCGGGCAAAGAAGCAAAACGCGATAGTGTTGGTGAAGCCGAGACGAGCGGCGACGATGTCATAATATCCTCGCCGGCGAAGAAGCCTAAGCGCGCGGCTGTACGGAAGGAGAGCTGGGTAATTTCAGACGACAGCGATGCTGAAGCACAAGCCACACCGAAAAGAACAAAACGTCAAGCTGCAAAGGAGAGATCATCCGATGAGGACGACGACGACTTGCCCGCAACACAGCGCAAGCGCAAACAGCCGCCAGTAACCCCACGGCGGAGAAGCAAGCAAGAGGAAGAGGATCTTGAAGAGGACCTGGAGTTTCTCGGCCCATCAGGTGGGCGCTTGAAGAGGAAGCCGGAAAGTAGTCCACGTAAGCCGGTACAATCTGCGAGACAGAAGGCGCTGGAGGCTTTGAAGCGCCGGCGAGCGGGCGACAAAACAGAACCGATTCTGGTGGAATTAGACGATGACTCAGCCGAAGAGGGCAGACGACGTGGACTTTACGACACCGATACTGAGTCGGACGACGGAGAAGATGAGTTGGAGGAAGTCGAGGATGAGAACGAGATCATCGAGACACCGCGGCGAGGCGGACGAAGTAAGCACTAACTACGTTCCTGTCGTTTCTGAGTTCACCCAGGGCTCCCAAACATCTAGAGCGGCCGTGCCACAAGGCAAACGCCATCGACTGCAGGATCTGTGTTTTTGTCCTATGAGTGCTGATGACATCCAGACCGCAACCCCCCTGCTGCCCCCCGAGACGCCGACGCAGGTGACATGTTCCTCCCCGACGAAGACGACGAGGACTGGATCGTCGAAGACGACGAAGACGCTCCCCTCGGCGCCCCCGTAGGCCTCCCCCTACAATTCAGCAACCTAAGCAGGCAGAAGGGCAAAGACCTCTTCAAGTACGTGGTAGAATGGATGGTACAGAAGAAGATCAACCCCGCCTTCGCCATCGACGACGAGATCTACGACCTCGCGTTCCGCAAGTTAGACGACGAGGTCCGAGGACTCGCTGGCTCGAAGTTCACGTCCTCAGCATGGACGCCCGGCTTCACCCAAGCACTCCGAAGTCGTCCTCATATCGTGGTTACGGGAGTTCCCGGGGGTACATCACTGTATGACCACTGTGCAGCCTGCAACCGCAAAAACCATCCGGCGACGTGGCAGATCCAATTTACGGGAAAGCCGTATCACAAGGAGACTCTAGAAGAAGTCGCTGACGATGAAGACTCTGAAGGCGAGACGGACGGCCAGACTTATGACGCCCTAGGACGTGAAGTCCCAGATGAAAGCATCATCTACAACCTCGGCAAAACTTGCAAGCAGAATGCCGAGATCGCCCATACTCTAGAGCACTGGCGGTACCATCTCAATGACTGGGTTGTTACATACCTGAAAGAGGAAGGGTATACCGCGCCGAAGAAAATCGTTGAGCGGGATGAGTGGAGTACGAAGAAGCGACAGAAGTATGCGAATGAGATCGCGGATGAGATGGAGCGGACGGGCGAGATCAAACGGCTCTATCGGGATTATAGGAATGAGGTCAATACTGCGAGGGGTGATAAGCTGGCGGGGTCTGGCAGACAGTTGGAGTTGGACTTTGACTAGTTGGCACACAGGTAATAGGCCATTGGTTTTGATTTTATCGGGACTCGTGATACCAGGAAACTTGGCGTGGTTGACAGTCCGGACATGGCCAGATCGGTGAAGCGATTCATCCTTTGTTCTTTTCTTACATACGACTAATCTCGACCACCGAAGCTATACAGCTGCTTCGAGTGGCTGAGGCCTATATAGCTATTTTCCTGATGATTAAAAGGGGAATTCTGCCCCAAATCGCTCAATATCTTGCCGATAAGAGACTTCCAATCTTCCGAGCGTACAACTCACCTGGACCAAGCTAAAAGCTCACCTGACCAACCAAAAAGTCATCTGATCAACCCCACATACCTTACAACACCACATAATCTATCATCACTTTTTCGCCCGAATTATTTATGATTCCATTAACCACTAACCACTAACCACTAACTACTAAACCCTAACCGCTAACCGCTAACCACTAACCAATTAACCCTAACTAGCTAAAAAAAACATATTTCTAACATGTTTCTATCTTTTTTCTATAGAAAAAGCTTCAAACAAGTTTGGGATACAATAGATTTAAGCTTCCTTTAAACATGTTTTAAGCTTGTTTATATATGTTTTATAGAGAGATAGCAACCGTGCGCTAAGCTCAGCCGACCAAGCCCGTGCCAAGATGACCAACCACCAGGATTCTTGCATTAGCGCCTTGGTCGGCCGAGCTTTTAGCTTGGTCCAGGTGAATTGCGTCCTGCAATCTTCCGATGCTTTAACCCCGGCTTCCGCCATTGCACGGGTAAGCTTACACCGACTCGAAATTAGCTGGCGTGGAGAGCTCAGCAAAGCCACTGCGAATCGTTTTAACGTACATCCAGTAGAATTCGCCGCTTGCCATGATTCGGCCCAGAACTCCTGGGCTGAACCATGTATACAGCCTCAACGTCAACCACAACGCCGTCTTCTGACACATCTGCAAAGTCGCCAAGATCAGCACTTGAGATATACACCCTAGTTCTGGAGACCGTACCTACGTTGTCCACTCCGTGAGAGGCCAGAGCACTTCAGCTCCCCCTACCAGCATCTGATCCACGAAGCTCAGACGTGCCGGTCCGTCTAGCCAGCCTTCCTCCAGCTCACACTATCCATACTTTCCACACCATCCCCCACATTTCTCCCAACCCCATCACCTCGGCAGCCCGCTCCCACCACCACCTCCCCTCGCCGCAGCTCCCAACTGCCCTAACCCTATCCTCGGCGCCTCGACCGGCCCCCGTCCCACCAGCTCCTCAAGCCCCAGATCCCTCCACGCAGCCTCCCGCTTCCGCTGCGTCGCTCTCGTGATCCCAAACGCCGCATGCTGGTCCGGAACCACGTCGTCCTCGTCCTCCGGGTTCAGCGGCTCGTGCTCCGGCGCGACGTAGATGGGTTCGGGGGGCAGGTTGCCGCCCGGTTCGTGGGGGGTGGAGGTGTTGAGGGCGGCGGGGGAGGTCAGGGAGGGGTTGGTGGTGTTTGGGGAGGTGGGGAGCGCGCGTGTGAAGTCTTCGAGGAGGTCGGCGTGGTGGGAGCGGTGGAGGTGGAGGTGGGTGTGGGAGGAGTCGCGGGACTGTAAGGGGGGTGGTTAGCGGGGATAGGTTGGGGGAGAGCAGGGGTTTGGGGCGCACCATCTTGCTCTTGGGATTTAAAGGGGCAGTACGAATTGTTTGAGGGCAAGCTCGAGACGGGGCTGAGATGGTCGCTGTATGTTGCGTGACGAAGTTGTTGGACGTTTCTGAGAGCTTGGACCCTTGTTGTTTGTCGAAGAGCTGCCCCGCGGTGATCCTCAGCCCCACTACGAGCTGCGGAAATTCTTTCCCTCCAGGGCAGCTCCTCAGGAAAAGGCAGCTTGCAGGTGAAATGCGTGTGAATGCTCTTCCGGGCAGCTTAGTCCGCGGTGCAAATTGCTGCAGCTCCATCCGGAGTCAACGAGGGGATTCCAGCTGAGCTCTTAACACAACGGATATACCGATGACAATCATTCCAGACGCTGACCACTTCACAGCTCCCTCCAGCGCGTAGGCAGCTCAACGCCGCAACATAAGTGCAATGTCAGAGAAAAGATACAATATAGCGATAATAGGCTACGGCCTCGCCGCCAAAATCTTCCACATCCCTCATATCCTCCGTGTGCCCTCTCTCAACTTCTACGGCATCGTCCAGCGCCACCCTACCCCTGATAATGACGCCCAAAAAGACTTCCCCGGCATCCAGTCCTGGCGCTCCAGCGACGAGATGCTGGCCGACTCCTCCGTCGACGTCGTAATCGTCACAACCTTACCCGAGAGCCACTTCGCCCTGACCAAAGCCGCGCTCGAGGCAGGCAAACACGTTGTCGTGGAGAAGCCCTTCGTGCCCACCTCCGAAGAAGCAACCGAGCTCTGCCGCCTCGCCGCTTCCAAGGATCTCATCCTCACCGTCTACCAAAACCGGCGCTACGACGCCGACTTCCTGACCCTGCGGCGCCTTCTAGCCGACAACACCCTCGGCCGCATCGTCGAATTCGAAACCCACTTTGACAGACACCAGCCCGCGCGTCCGCAAACATGGCGGCAGACCTCCGCGCCAGGCGTAAGCCAGATCTACGACCTCGGGACGCACCTGCTAGACCAAGCGCTCGTGTGTTTCGGTCTCCCGAAGCGGATCACCGCGTTTATAGGGCATCAGCGCGCGGTGCCGGAGGCGGAGCGGGACGGGTACGCAGCTGATAGCTTTACGGTGCTGTTGCATTATGAGCGGGAGGAGGGGACGATGCTGGTGACGGCGAAGGCGGCGGTGGTGAGCCCGGAGCAGGAGCAGCTGAGGTGTTGGGTCAGGGGTGAGAAGGGCAGTTATAAGAAGTGCTGGCTGGATGTGCAGGAGGAGCAGTTGCACGAAGGGCTGAGACCGGGGGATGAGGGGTTTGGTGTTGAGCCGGAGAGTCGGTGGGGTGAGTAGGGAGTTGCTGTTCTTCTTGAGATTCATCTGGGGAGCTAACGCGGCAGGTAGGCACTTTGACCACGGCCAGAGAGGGTAAGTGTGTCAGCGAAACACACCCCACTGTTGAGCCGGCCACATATGTGGAGTACTACCGTGTATTAGCGAAGGCATTAGCTGGGAAGGGGCCAGTGCCCGTAGACCCAGAACAGAATGCGCAGCTCATCAGGCTGGTGGAATTGGCGATAGAGAGCTCGAAGAGGTGGCGGACGATGGATGTGTAAGCCTGATGAACGCCCACCGTGATGCTGGGAGCTAGTAACATATACGATTGCCCCCGTCATTCAACCTGTCGGATATCGCTTGCATATGCGGTACCCCTATTTGCGAGGACGACAGCGCTCCCAAATGATTTTCATGTCCAAATGCTAGTTAATGCCAAATGCCCTCGCTGTAGATGCTTATGATTTCTACGAGAACATATTTGCGGCCGACTTCTGCGTTGTCTTTGCTTCTTCGTGCTGTCTCACGGTCAGTTTTCAAGTGTCTCGTGATCTTTGTAGGAAGACGAACCTCCAAAAAGTCTGTCGCTGAGATTAAGAGCGTGAATGCGTCCACCAATTCACTCAGATCTCCAACGCCTTCTACTGCGATCCCTCCCACCTTCGCATGTCTCTTGAAGATCGCGACCATGGACGCTCTGTTGTCCTTCAGAAACTGCCTCGCTTGATGCATAGTTTGGCTGTTTTGGGCGCCTCGACTGATTACTACAGCGACGATGACGCGAAGGACGGAGAGCATCAGCTCGAAGAACTTCTTTAATGCTGCTGGATCCTCGATTTCTGATATTGTTAGCGTGACGCGGGGTGATGAGCGAGAGACTGCGAACGTACCAAAACCAATGTCCGGATCAGTAGAGAAGATTTGAGAGTCTTGAACGGACTGGAAGAGGCCGGCATTTAGGACATGAGCCGCACCCAGCCGCGTCTGGGCGATCCGCGCCAGAAGGCTCAAGCTTGCGTGGTAGTACGACAAAAGACCAGGAACATCTATATGAAGTAAGTACATGCTCGTCCCTACGGTCAAGGCCGACGTACCAGCGGCACTCGCGGCTGCCAGGTCGGTTGCGATCGTCTTGATGCTGTCCACCAAAACACCAATGAAGTTGAGCTTAGCAAAAGCCTCGATCATGATCTTCGACTCCTCCTGCACGGCCAAAGAGACCAGCGCCTCGAGCAGTTGCAACGAAGATATCCTGCAGTTTCCCTGCCCCGCATATGCATCATCGCAGGCCACTTCGAAGAGCTTCTCCCCGGACGCCTTCACGACACGGATGCAATGACGCGCAAGGGGCGAGCCTTTAGTGGATGCCTTCACGATACCTTGCAGATATCGGTAGCAGACCTGATAGCAGATCTCTCTAAGGTCTGGGTTTGACACGAGGCAATATGTGCCGCTCAATGCGGTTCGGAACAACTGGAAGAGCCTGTCGTTCGCGAAGTCATCCGCTTTGCTGTTTTCGATCGCAGTGGTCTCCAGGTTTATGTTCTGTATCAGGGATTTGGAAAGCTTGGAGAGCTGTAGTGCAAGGAACGGATCATCAGAGAAGGATTTCTCCAGCTTCGGAATGATCATCTGAACCGCCTGGAGGATGACAGCTGTTTGACTACTCGCTTCGAACTCGCAGCATGCGAGCATGACGGTCATTAATTGAACCCAGGCGCTGATGGCTTCTTCTCTTGCAGCTAAAATCTTGGCTCGCTTGTTCTCTCCGAGAAGGCACAGTAGAATGCTCTGGGCTTCCTCTTGTAACTGATGCTCATCGGCCGGGGTCGAGATTCGTCCAGTCTTTTCAAGCTCTTTAGCACGGAGCGTAAGCAATTCTTCAACACTTCGAAGATCGTACAGCGGTGAATCTGATTCGTCTTTTCTGCAAACGCTGAAGTCGAGACCATCGTAGAATCTTAGAGGCGGTAGTGCGAAAGCGCCGCCTACCTGCAGCTCGACAAAGTCGAAAAGGTCGAAGATACTCGGATTCTGCAGTTGCTCCCCGTCCGGTAGCACGGTGAGGCCCAACAACGTAGATTGGATGCGGGATTTTAATGAAGGCATGCCACTCTGTACCGTCATTCGGAGTTCGCGAGCTACATAATCGTAAAACGCAGCTCGTTGCCGAAGAAACTGTGAGAGGGCGTCTGCCGACTCGGTAAAGAGGAACTCGGGGTCATCGATGACCCTACCATCCCACAACGTGTTGGCAGTGACAGCGATCTGCCGCACCGCTTGGACGAAGAGAAAGTCGGCAGAGCGCAGTTCCGCCATTGTGTACACCGATGACAGAGGAGATTTCCAGAGCTTGGCTATTATGTCTAAGCACCCCTGCTTGACCATCAACCGCCACGACAGAAAAGAGTCCTCATCGGTGTCCGGATATTCCGCTGCCAGTCTTAACAATGCATGGAACAGCGAACTCCCACTTGCAAAGAGACTGTCAGCACTGATATCGACTGTCGTATCGTTACAGGAGAAACCAAGCAGCGCGTGCGCTAAAGTCGGACGGTTCGGTAGAGTTGCTAGGCAGCTATTCAGAAATTCAAGGATGTTCGATTTGATGACGAATCCTGGAGCCGTCGGGCCTGCCTCAAGTTCTCTTGGGTCTAGCTGCATCTCAGCTGTTAGCAATCTAGCTATACGTTCAGCATCGTTATCCTTCTCCAGAATGCCGATGATTTTGCTACGACCAGACCGCCGACCAAATCCTGCGGTTGCGGATGCAGCGAGTTTCCGGGATGATGACAACGTCTCCAGTAGTCTTAACGAGGCTATTGTCAGGTCCTGATGACCGGCACCACAGTAGAGGCCCAGATCGACAACGATGTCCAGATTGTTGAGCACTGCGTCTTCAAAGGACGCTATCGCACTGTTAGACACAGGAGTCTTACGTGCTGTCGATTGAGTCTTGAGCAATGGGCGTATTATGTCAAGATACGTTGCCTGATATTTCATAACGAGGCCCATGACCTCGATACTCCGTAAGAGAGACAAAATCAGGGGCGAATCAGGAGATGCCTTCTGAACTTCAGTGATGTCCTTGTGGGCTGTCGCAAAGAGTGCCGAGAGCACTCTATCATTAAACAGCCACTCCATAGTTCGCGCAAAGGGGTGTAAACGGGCATACTCCAGGAGCGATGAGGCTCCAATCGCAGTGTCGACGGCAACGTTCGATCTGTTTGCGAAGATCACAAGATCTTCGTTGAAAGTCGAAAGACATGTGGTGACGAAGTTTAGACAGTTCCAGCGGAGCACCCGAAGCTGAAAGGCGTCTTCAACATAAGTGGATTGTGAGCCGAAGATCTTGCCAACCACAAGATCAACATAACTGTCAACGCCAGGCATTCGGTACGGACTGCCCAGATGTTCGGGGAAAGGCAGGGCGTCGTTAAGATCCATGTGGTCGGGATACGGAGTAATCAGCGCAATTAGAAGAGTGACGAAAGCATTTGCTTGTTCGAAAAAACGGGAGATAGATTCATGGGCGGATTGCTCTGTCCATGCTGGCGCAACTTGTACATTGCTCGTCCTCGGCAGATTTTGAGTCGGACTAAACCCACAGATCCACTGATCCAAGGTATGCCATAGGCCTTCGCCGATCTCCTGAGTCTTGTTCGTCAACAAAGAAGCCAGTGCAGTAAATGCACCTGCCCAAACCGTCGGATCAGCGGCCCGGGCGCAAAGTTGGAAGAGGATCTCGTGTAGACGGAAAGATGGATTGCTCAGGATAAAGTTGCGAGCATCCGAGCTTCTCCAGCACAAGCGCGCTATGAGACGCAGATAACACTCTAGCATGTAGGGACTTTCGAGTTCTACCTCGGGATTGGCCTGATTCTGCGCGTTGACATAAAGATGCGTAGAAGCTGCTGAGTGTCTTTCTCCGGTCCCTGAAGCGTAATGTTGCAGCTCTGAAAATATCTGCGTCCAGCTCATGGTGGACTTCTGCCTCAGCTTGCCAGGGGCGGATGCCACTTCCTGAAGCAGAAATCCGTGCGCAGCGTCCGCCAGTTCCTCACTATCGGCAATGGCGCGTAGCATCTCGGAGAAGGCAGCGGCACGGGGTGTTGTTTGTCTCTTTGCGGCCCACTGCAGAAATCCGTACAAGTTACTTTCCGGCTCAACCAAGAACGGTGCAGCGGCGTCGGGCCAACCCTCAAATGCATGAGCAATGATTATCAGAAAGCGCTCCAGATGGTATACAGAGTCTTGCTGAAACTGCAGCATTGCATTCCTCCTCAGGTCGTCCTCGTCAACCTTGAGCTTTCGCAGCGTATCAGGCATGTTGGTAATGAAGCCTATGATGAACGCTTGCAGTTGTTGCATGACCAGAAGGTGGAAGTGGTCGGATGCGCTAATGGTGTCAGCGGGTAACGCGAATGATTCGTGAAGTATGATCCTCATGAGTCCGGCCTTCGTTGGCTCGGCCCATTTGTGCGGCATAATGTCCCGAGTGGCGGAAAGCATAAAGTGGAAAGCGCCGTCCTTGAGAGCATCAAGGAAGAGAGCTGAACGACCTTCCGCCTCAGCCTCTAAATCCACGCCTTGTAACGGTGATCCGACGGGGTTGTCGAGGTACCTCCCGCTGTACTCCGCAAGCCACCATACAACCGTCGCAGCACGGAAATTTCTCAGAGCCCAGGAGTCACCGTCCCTCGTTATGGTTTCATGCAGAGATCGGGCGTCACGGAGTGAGCATGCGTCCTTGGAAGAAATGATCCTGTCAATTAAACAGATGAGAACCGGGATGTAGTGTATCAGAATGAGGTCGTATCTGTCCAGTTTTTGAAGCGTTGGGAGTAGAAACCGAAAATCGTCGACATTGGCGTAGCCGCACTTCACAAGGTCCGTGGCAATAGCGGCGAGAGACTCATGCTGCCTGGTCAAACTCGTGCGCTGGAAGTCATAAATCTCTGCCATTTCCGGCGACGGCGCTTGCCCAATTATCGACGCGCTTTGTATTCTTTCCGCAAGTTGTTGCAACCATTCACGTATCTCTCCTAGGCTAGATATGCATTTTCGCCAGTACCGTGACGCACTCTCACGCTGGCCGTTCTTCCCACTGGCTATTTTCTCCACATACTCCTTGAAAGCCTGTTGAATGCTCTCATCTCTGTCTTCGTCTATTGATAGCGCGACGACTAGTCGCAAGCATTCGAGGAGAAATTGTCTGCGCTTGTGGAAGCGGATAATGGAGGTCGTGAGGGGGGATCTGTCGAGTTCTTGGGCATCTTCCTGGGCCGCCAAATAGAGTTTTGCGGATTCTAGCTCGTCAAGGTCGAGGGCGTCGGCGACCTGTATAGTCTCCTGCTTGAACTCTTCGTTGACGGAATACTCTACATCGTCAAGCCGTATCGTTCCTTCCGTGGTTGTAAGGTCAGCGCAGCACGAACAGGTGGTGGGTATGGAAGGGATCTCTCGTACCAGACGCGAGCGTTCGACGACTGTTGTCATCTTTCCGCGGCCTGTCGAGCAGTTTCCGAAACTCTTCTACTCGTGCCTCAAGCTCCAAAGAGAGCCGATCAATGGTTGGCAACCGTGACTCTGTGAAAGCCAGCAAGTCCTGGTGAAGCCCCTGCAGCGCCTCCAAGCTGTCAGTACCGGCCATGGTACTAGAGCTGACAGACTGGGGTCGCTGCGCGTATCGCAGGTCGTGGTGTTTACGGTTTAAAGAAAACCGTCTAGCGGAGATCGCGAGAGCTTCAGACGCGAGAGCTCGCTCCGCCGACAATTCGCCGGATCCATTTTCACCACACCTCTCCGCAACACAAGCTACTCGAGAACCGTCTTAGCCTCAAGGTATTTGCGGGGGCCGGCCGCCTGTCAACACTGCAGCACCTCACTGTGGTGAACAGCTTGTAATCCACCTTTGGCTGCTCTTCTCTAGAATGTCATGAGATGAGTTGTCTGTTCAAAGGACGCCGAGCTTGCTAATACTGGGGGCGTCTATCGGCAACATGGGAGAAGTCAACATCGCGAGCGCTTTAGACTGTATAAAGGCGTCGACAGCCAAGAGCCAGACGGAAGGCCTAAACGATCTGAAGCACATCCTTAGTCACAACCGCCGGAGTGCCAAAGTCGACGACGTGAAAGGAGACTCATGGCATACCATCTACGAAACCCTGTTCCGTTTCATTACTTCCGAAAGATCCACGTATATGAAAGAATCCAGGAGTACTAGAAAAAGTGCCTCCGAAACGCGTCTTTCCTTGGGTGCAGAAGTTCTTCGTCTTGTTGTGGAGGTCCACGTATGCAAGTTGCGGACGAAAACACTCAAGTCACTGCTCGATCACATCTTGCAGTCGTTGCCTACCCCAAGAGGCGGCTTTTGCAAGCCGCTGAGCTTGAACTATACGAGATGTCTAAGGATCATACTCGAATTCCAGCCCCACGTGGAGCACCTGTCTAACAGCGACTGGAAAGCAATTGCAAACTTCTGCTTAGAAGCGATAGCGTCCTTATGCGGTATAACAGCGGCTAGCGGCAATCATGACGGCAACGAGAGTCCCGCTTCACGGACTCCAGATGCCTCTGCGCGCACATCGAGATCGGGAACGCGTGAGCCTACCAACAGCGAGAGGGGCGGCGGCGATTCAAAGGGACTCTTAGAGGAACTGACCGGCTGCGTACGGCAGCTTACACGTGCGCCGAATGCGCCTGTTCTCGACAGTGCCCAGCAGCTACTTGCGACGCTCATCGGCTTTCTCAAATCGACGAAGTCGGTAGGGGGACCGCAAACTGATGCTTTTGCCGCTATCAATTCCGTGCTTGCGAGGACGTCCTATGAGTCCGTGAAAACGACGCAAGGTGCTATTCAAGAACTCGTTCCTATCATCAAAGATACATGGTCAACAAAATTATCCACTGTAAAAGATGAGATGTTGATCACTTTAATTCACGGAAAGAGCCATATCGAGGCACTGTTCCGTCAATCCGGTAACGAGCTTTTCCGACGCCATATTGAAAACCTTCTTGAAACAATACAAGTTGAGTACGTCAGACGTCAGGACAGCAAGGATCTCCTGCAGCTTGATGACTTGCGGCTCGAGTCTTCATATTCGCGGAAGCCCGGTCAGATTAGCCTTAAGACTGCTGCATTTTCATTGCGTTCCGATATTGCTCACGCAGGCAACTCACGTGCAGAAAGCAGCTTTCGGCCAGAGAGCCATTGGATGATTGTATTCTTCATTGCTTTCTTCGCGACACTCCTCGATGGCGAACGGGCCAAAGCCGAGCAACAATGGGTAGGAAATGAACGGGACCCTAAGAGGAAGAGGCCACGTCTCTCTCTCTTCCTTGACGACTATTTCCGTCAATTGTCCGATCCGCACCCCTCTGGCAAGATCTCCGCGTTGCAATTCATCACCTTCATAGCGCATCTTGCACCCTTAGATGAGGACAGGATGCTCGATGTGCTTGACAAATTGGTCGCGCACGTAGGTGACGAGAAGGGCACAGTATCGGCCTGGGCCATGCTTGCGTTAGCAAAGTGAGTTGGTCCATGTTTGAGACAGTGGACAATACTGACAGGCCCTACCAGCTGTGCGTTTCAGAAGGCAGCAAGCACTCCATCTGTCGCCACTGTGTGGGTGACTGCTTGGCAGATGGCTGCCAAGGCGATTTCAGCAGTGTCTTCTTGTAGAGCCGCGTGCCACTTGATGGACATCCTGCTACGACTGAAGCTCGTGAACTACGCTGTTGTGGCAGAGCAGCTAGACGCAACAATAACGTCCAGTGAGCTCAATGGACCTGCGGTACTTGCCGAGTCGACTGCGTCCTTGTGGGAGACCATGATCTTCATAAGAGAATCTCACAACCCCGGTCTCTTTGGCGTGACTGCTGAGCGGGCTTTACACTGGCTATTCGGCAAATGGACTCCTAGTACGTACATGTGATGTTCTACTCAGCCCCTCACAAGCTGAATGATGATACAGGCAACTTCGCAGACAGGTTGTACATACAGCAGAACTCGCAGCATTGCGGACCGGCCGATATCCTCAGGGTTCTGTTTGCATGCACGAATCGGGCGTGGACCCGAGATGCGGAGCCCCAAGTCGTGGTCCTTGGGCCTATCGCACAAGCCTGGTCGTATTGTTCTCACTACGCAGGCCTTTTGGCCTATCTTCTCCTGTCCACCTCGCAATCTAGTTTCCAGCGCTGCGTGGAAGATCCTCAGATCGGCTCGCGGACCGCATCGCCCCAAGCAGGACAAGGATCACTCGCGCAGGACACGTTGGTCCTCGAATACTGCAGCGCGGAAGCCGACAAGACTAGACAAAAATGGCGCGAGTGGGTCATTGAGAAGCCACAGAACATCAGTGTTGATATGGTTCACTCGGTTGTTGGTCTCTGCATTGTGAACTCTTTCGTGTCAAGTCTCTCCGACAGCCGAAATGCCCGCCGCTGCGAGGACCTCAAGCGTGTCACGAACACAGTAATAGAGACCGTTACTGGTTTTGCCTCTCGGCACGATTGCAAGCAACAAAGCGTCGACACAATGCTTGAGATCGCCGCTCAATACCTTCCTGACATCCGACATATCGAGAGTCTTGATCGGGCCTTCCTGGCGAAGACAGGTATGTCTTCATTCGTGTTGCACCTTACCACTGCTCTCGAAGACCGTCGGAAATTTGAAGACTCTCCCGGTGGCCACGCTGTAGACGACGATTTCATGGACATTGATAATGGTTTCGGATCTCAGCAGAGTCAGAAAGCTTCCCAGCGGGAGACACGCGGCGGCCCTCGTCATATTTGGGCGGCTCAAAGCGACATTGTATCTCTCCGTTCATCTGTCTCAGCCTATATGAAGCTCTTGTCGATAGCGCTCGAACCCATAGGAAGCAGTGTCAGCAGTAGTACTGTACCTGCCGTTTTCATAGAGCATCTATTATCATTGCCTGCGGCAGATATTCTCGCGTGTCGTCCATTCCTCGCAGCTCTATTGTCGTCACCGCTCAGGGTGAACACAGAAAACTCTGAATACCTCTTGGAAAAGATTGGCACAAGCTTCTTATCTACTTATGACTACGAGAGGTGCGAGTTGGCCATGGCCCTGAGTCTCGACATCATGGCAGGTATCCTACCGCTTTGGTCAGATCCAGCGCACAGTGCGCTCAATGAGCTCGGTGGAGACCTGTATGAGTGGTTTGTCAACACAGCGCTCAAAACAGGCATTTCATCGCCGAATGTTCAAATCGCCATGACCCGAATATTCCATGGACTTCTGAAATACAACCCCGGCTATGGACAAGCCTCGGCCCTACCCTCCGTGCGCACCAGCCTTTTCAGTCTTTTGCAAGAGGGGGATATCACCGTCAAGTACTGTGTTGCCCAAAACCTATCCGAGGTTTTCAAGCTGTTCATCCTCGCCAAGCACGATGCAATCTTCGATGATGTTAATAGCAGTCTACCGAAAGAGTATGACTGGCATGAAGGTATCGCACTTCGTCTGCTTGTGCTTTCGCGTCTCGGTTCAAAGTGGCACACTCTCTTACGCCGCTGTGTGTATCACATTTTTGAAACCGCTGGTATGGTCAGAGACTCTGCGGTCCATGCGGCCCACTGCATTGGCGAAATCTCAGATTCTCTGCACCTAGAATCTCCGCAAGCTCTTTTTAGGATGTTCGCGCAACAACTTCTTTATACATGGCTCGAAGGATCACAGCCGATTGCTACCGTTCCTTATGAGATATTCCGTTACGCCACCTTATCAGCTTTGCTATACGACTCAGAGGAGGAAGCCATCGCCCAGCTCATCATCCGGGGGAACGATAAAGATATAGGAGCATTTACGGACAGTATCAAAGCTTCAGTTGACGTCGTGCTTCAACGACGGTTCGGCAAGGCTGCGGCGTACAGCATTTCTTGGGATACCTGTTACGGGGTTTCACGAGACAAGGCAGCGCCAAGCTGTGAAGCCCGTCTTCGCACTTACATCGGCCAGGAGCGGTATATCAACCTCATCCACAAGTGGTTTCCGTACATTCTCGGTATCATATTTGTCTCTGCAGAGCAGGAAGACCAGGTTGAGAAGGCGTTTGCAAAGCGAACCACTTTCGATCACGCGGCCGGAATTCTGAAAACCATGAAAGCCATCAGCTCCTCCGCGACTCTTCTGCCCGCGAACCAACAGCCGTCGTTCAATTCCAAATATTTACTCGAGCAGATAGAGCGAGTATGTCGTCGCATGGCATATGATCCTGTTAGCTTTTGGACGCCAGAGATCTACGTCTATGTATTGCGGATGCTACTCGACAATATCCACCCGGCGTTGGGTTCCCTCCACGCTTGCTCCATCATCCGCAAAATCCGAGTCTTGGTTTCTTTAGCCGGAAAAGTTGCGCTTGCAGGATATCCTTTGCAGGCGTGTCTCCACGCTTTGCGGCCCTTCGTCACTGACGGACAGTGCGCAGATGACGCTTTGGGCATTGTGCAGTACCTGTTGGAGCATGGCCGCTCATCTCTCACCGTCAATATCTCCTTCATCAGCGGCATCGCTCTTTCCTCCTTGATTTCCCTGCGAGCGTTCTTGGACTCTTCGCAAGACAGCACTACACAAGAGAGCCAGCACGTGGCTACATTGAGCAAGGTGCAGACTTTTCACGACTGGTTGGCTGCATACGTTACGTCCTTGGAATCGGCTCAGTCCGATGGCATGAACGGCGAAGGCGATGAACGCACGTCCCGCAGGTCGTTTCTATCTCTTATACAGGCCGCCTGCAACGCTCGAGCGCAGGGCAACGCCTTTAGAGGCTCAGCAGAAAGCCAGTTGCTATTGGAGCTTTTGAATGACGAGAAAAGCGGCCGGCGCCTTCTAAGCGCGCCTTCGCACGAGCTCGCCCTTAACTTGCTATGTCATGACTTCCAGGTACCCCAGTCTTACAGAGATGATGTACTGGGAGTCGACGATGCAGCGGCAAGATATGCGGTTCAGGTGTGGAAATCTTGTCAGCGCACTGGAGCAAGCAGAAGCTATCTTTTGTGGGCGGCGAGAGTGATCGGACGCGCTCACAGCGCCAATGGGGATTTGCAACGTGGTCTTCGAAACGCTGTTACCTCATCCATAAATGGAATCAGGATGACCAGCACAGTAACGGATAGCTCAGTAACGTCCATCGTTCGGATTGTTTCAACATATTTGCTCAGCGATGTCCCTTTGGAAGTGCAGTTGGCAGAGCGTACTTTGCGCTCGGTGTTATCCAATGCCAAGTCAGCAGAAATGGTCTCAGAAGTGGAAGAATCACTCTCTCGAGATATAGTTTCAGCGCTGTCGATGCCCGATCCTGGCAATCCTCAGCGACCAACATCATCAGGACTGAAGCTTGAGCAGGTTGCTCAATATCAGCCATCGATGCCTTACGACTCCTGGATCCGTCAGCTCGTCCTCACAGTGATTCTATCCGCTGGCCATGATGCAGTCATCGGGTCACTTCCAGACATCATCTCCGGGATTGCTGGCCTGGCAGAGCGGCTGTTCCCGTATGTTCTCCATGTTGTCCTTATGCAAGAGTTAGAAGGTGAGCAAACGGTACGTCCGGTGGTTTCCGCAGCCTGTCAAGAATGGTTTCGACACGCCGATACCATAACGGCACCCTACATTCGGGTTTTTCTGGATGTTATCCTGTATCTCCGCACACAGCCTCTACCTCGTGAAGCTACTCGGGCAGATCGTGACCGTTGGCTTGAGCTCAATTACCTTGAAGCAGCTCATGCGGCAGCCGAATGCGGCATGTATACGGCATCTTTGATGTTCGCCGAGATCTACGTCTCACCCCCTGTGCGCAATACAAAGCGTTCGTCAACGGCGTTCGTTCAGCCATCGCTCCCAACCGAACTCCAACTGTCCATCTATAAGAACATCGACGAGCCGGATTCATACTATGGTGTTCGACAACCGCCGAGCCTCTCTACAGTTCTAGATCGGCTCGATTACGAAGGCGAGGGATTTAAAGGCGTACTGTTCCGGAGCGCTCGCGTCGATAGCCAGATGCGCCGTCTCAATCACGCTCTACCGGCTGACTCCCAAGGCCTTGTCAGCTCATTGACAATGCTCAACCTTAACAACCTAACGTACTCATTGCTCACCCAAGAAAGACCCGGTGATTCTGGAAGCGACATGACGAACAGCCTGTTACATGCCGCACGGAAGCTGGAACAGTGGGACCTCAGAGCACCGGAGACAGACCGTGCCGAATCAGCTACCATATTTAGGGCATTCCAAGGGCTCAGTACTGCTGCAGACATATCGAGCACGCGGAACTGCCTCGACCGCAGTTTTATCGAGGCCTTAAGCAGGACTACTGAAACCAGCATCAATGCGCGATCCATGCAATCCGCTCTGCGTACTCTGGCAGTGCTAGCGGAGGCCGACGACGTGATGAGCTCCCGCGACGCACACGACCTGGATGAGACGTGGCAAAGGTTGCGCTCCCGGGAGCATTGGATGGATACAGGCCGGTAAGTCCCACTACGCTACACTTCCCAGTGAACATACGTTGACAATCAGAAGCTACGAGGATGTTAGCGCCATTGCTTCTTGCCGCGAAACACTCTTCAGCTTACTCAGTAGCAGCTCACAGCTCCAAAACATCATCCATACGGCCCCAAAAGAAACACGAGCTATCGAAGTTGAATGCCTACTTTCATCATCCGCTCTTGCTAGGAAGCACGGTGCATTACAAGATGCGTTGGCCAGTGCAACTTACCTTGCGGACCTCGTACCTGACTGCGCGAAAGTCGGTATGATCGTAGAAGCCACAGCTCAATATGAAGCCGCAAAAGTTTTGTGGGACCAGGGCGAGCAAACAACGTCGATCGGTATCCTCCAACAGCTCGATGCCGACCTTGAATCAAAGCATAAGGACTCGGCTGTGAGGAGGTCAAGTTTACTTGCAATGCTGGTAAGCCTGATCTTTGTGTATTGATACACACATACTGATGCCACCAGGGACACCATATGGCGGAAGCGCGGATGAAGAAACCAGACGAAGTGACGAAAGACTATCTGATTCCAGCCATTAAGGAACTCAATGGTCAAACACAAGGCCGTGAAGCCGGACAAGTCTTCCATGAGTTTGCATCCTTCTGTGATAAGCAACTCCAAAGTCCCGAAGCGCTAGAAGATCTTGCCCGTATGCAAAAGATGAGAGACAAGAAAGAGAGCGAGGCGAAGGAGTACGACAGGGCATCTAAGTCCGCGAAGACGCCAAGAGAGAAGGACCACTACCGACAAGCTTACAAGAAAGCCAAGAGATGGCTCGAGATTGATTCTGAGGAATTTCAGAAGATGCGCGCAAATAGAGAGGACGCGCTACGCCAGAGTCTCGAGAACTATCTGCTGTCCTTGCAAGCCTCAGACGACCACGAGAACGATGTGCTGCGTGTATTCTCCCTCTGGCTCGAGTATTCTGAACAGCAGTTAGCTAATAAGGCCGTGTCGAAACATCTCAATCAAGTGCCCAGCCGCAAGTTTGTTATCCTGATGAACCAGCTTTCCTCCCGCTTGCAAGCAGAGAAAACGGATTTTCAGTCACTACTATCAAAATTGGTGGTAAGGATCTGTGTCGAGCATCCTTACCACGGGATGCACCAGATATACGCCGGAGCCATGCCGCTAGTAAGCAAGGATGACGCAGCGAGATCCAGGAACACAGCGGCAAAGGATATTTCACGCCAGTTGAGGGCTAACAAGCTCGGACACCGCTACTGGACCTTGATACACGAGTCAAACACATGCTATCACGAAGTCGCCTTGCTAAAAGATGACAACTTCAAGATTGGGCGGTCGGCGAAGCTTGAAGATTACGCCCAATCTAGGAAGATGGCACAGAAAGTCCCCACGCTGAAGGTTCCGCCGCCAACGATGCCCATACCTATCCGTGCCGACTGCGACTACAGTACAGTACCAAGAATCACCGCTTTCAAGCCGACAATGACGATCGCCAACGGTCTGAGCATGCCGAAGATCGTTACTGCTGCGGCCTCGGACGGACAATCATACAAACAGCTGGTGAGTGATTTGGGTAGTCGGCCAAGAACAAACTGACTTTCTTGCAGTACAAATCCGGCAACGACGATCTCAGGCAAGACGCTATCATGGAACAAGTCTTTGAGCAAGTCAGCAGGTTACTGAAAAACCATACGGCGACTCGCCTACGGGACCTCCAAATCAGGACCTATAAAGTTCTTCCTCTCAGTGCCCGCACCGGTATCATCGAATTCGTGCAGAACACTACGGCCCTCCACAGCTATCTCATTCCCGCTCACGAGAGATACTATCCGCGAGACTGGAAGGCTACGAGGTGTCGGGAGGCAATATCAGAAGCCGGCAACCACACGAATGAGACTCGTATCAAGACTTTCAGACATGTCATGGCCAATTTCACACCAGTCATGAGATATTTCTTCCTTGAGCGCTTCGAGGATCCGGATGACTGGTTCGCTAGGCGTCTGGCCTACACCCGCAGTACGGCCGCCATTTCCATCTTGGGCTATGTATTAGGTCTGGGCGACCGGCATTGTCACAACATATTGCTCGACGAGAAAAGCGGAGAGGTGATACACATCGATTTAGGCGTTGCATTCGAGGCAGGCCGCGTGCTTCCAGTCCCCGAAGTCGTCCCATTCCGCCTGACCAGAGATCTAGTCGACGGCATGGGTTATATGGGCGTCGAAGGTGTGTTCCGCCGTTGCTGTGAGTTTACGCTGGAGACGCTTCGAGAGGAGCGAGAGGGTATCATGACGCTGCTCAACGTTCTGCGCTACGACCCACTGTACAACTGGACGGTCTCCGCGACAAAAGCGAAGCGGATGCAGCAGGGAGAAGAGACGGAGAACCCGCCTCCAGTTGACGAGCTGGTGGACCACTCGTCGAAGAAAGAGGAGGATGAGGCTGGTGAAGCCGGCAGAGCTCTCTCAGTGGTGGAGAGGAAACTGTCGAGACACTTGAGCGCTCAGGCTATGGTCAGTGAGCTCATTCAGCAGGCAACTGATGAACGAAATCTGGCAATGCTCTATTGTGGTAAGTCGGGCTATGACCATCTGTTCTAGCACAGCCATGCTAACTGTAAGCAGGATGGGCGGCGTACGTTTGATACCCCACTACACGTTGTGCAGGGCGTTTCATGCGCAATTTTGATTATTATATTGTTCATACCGCGATCGTTTTCCATTGCAAATATTCTCCGCGGCGTATATACCTTGGGGGCAATGTACATTTAACATTCAGGGAGATGGCAACGCTGCATTTTGTCATCCAAAGGTTCCGGGACCAACTATTGTGCATCAGTTGCAGTGCACTGTCTAATCGCCTCACTTCGAGTTTGGCACTTGACATTCCATCTTATTGACTACCTAACGAACGCGACCGGCAAGGTCATGAAGTGCTGCTGTTAATTTGTGCGTAAGCCCGTCGCTTCGCGTGCCGTAGCCGCAAGGCGACAAGGCCACCAAAGATTTTGCCAAGAACTGCATCTGACTGTGACTCTTCAAATTGTCCCACCGTGAGCAATTCTCCGAACAGCTGCCCTTTCACCAAGACTCGCAGACACCACAGTCTATGCAAGCGAAGCGCACTGCACAAGATGCACATCCCATCCACAGAACCGCCAGACCCGCCCAATCCCAAACCCACGACTACCCACACGAATGGCGCATCCGCAAATCCTCCCGCAACAGCTCCCCCCGAAACACCACAGCTCTCCGGCGCCGAGCTGAAAAAGCGCGCCAAAGCAGAAAAAGCCGCCAAACGCGCTGCAGAGAAGGCTGCAAAACCCAGCGCGCCTGCGCAACAGCCACAGCAGAAAGATGGAAGACAGAAGTCGAAAGAGTCGAAAGCTCCCGCCGTACAGCAAGTGAATGGAGAGGCCGGCAGAGGCGCAGGAGCGCAACAGCAGCACCACAAGCGTACGGGTTCCGTAAATGCAGCGAGTCTGGCCCAGCGACCCGCCCTGGGGGCTACGAAGAGGAGGCCGAGCCAGGGCGGACCGGTGAAGGAGGTTGAGAAGAAAAAGGTGGAGAGTAAGCAGAGGGAGGTTGCGCTCTTTGGGCACTTGTACGGGCAGCCAAGACGGCATAGCATTGAGGGTGCGGCGAAGGAGGTTCACCCAGCTGTCCTGGCTCTGGGGTTGCAGATGAGCAGTTATGTTGTGTGCGGGAGCAATGCGCGATGTGTCGCTATGCTGCTCGCTTTCAAGTCTGTGAGTTCACTGCAATGCAACATGCACTCAATGGATATACGTCAACCCAGAGTGGCTAACGGTCACCCAAAAGGTCATAGAATCCTACACCACACCCCCCGGCACCTCCCTAGCGCGTCACCTAACCTCCCACCACCTCTCCCCCCAAATCGACTACCTGCGCTCCTGCCGCCCGCTCAGCATATCAATGGGCAACGCGATCCGCTGGCTCAAAGACCTAATCGTGAAAATCGACCCCTCGGTCCCCGAAAACGAAGCCAAGTCCGACCTAACCTCCTCAATCGACACCTTCATCCGCGAGCGCATCACCGCCGCCGACGTGATGATCGCAGAGATTGCGTCCTCGAAGATCGTGGATGGGGACGTCGTGCTTACTTATGCGAAGAGCTCGATCGTCGAGAAGACGCTGCGGCAGGCGCAGAAGCAGGGGAAGAGGTTTAGGGTCGTGGTTGTGGACTCGAAACCGCTGTTTGAGGGCCGCCAGCTCGCGCGCTCGTTGGCGGCGGCGGGGTTCACGGTGCAGTATTCGCTTATCACGGCGGCGGCGCATGCGGTGAAGGACGCGACGAAGGTCTTTGTGGGCGCGCATGCCATGATGTCAAATGGGCGGCTCTACTCCCGCGTCGGCACGGCGGTGGTCGCTATGCTTGCGCACGAGAGAGATTTGCCCGTCATAGTGTGTTGCGAGTCCGTCAAGTTCACAGAGCGGGTGGCGCTTGATTCGATCGTCAACAACGAGGTCGCGCCGTCGGAAGAGCTGCTGAGCGAGGGCAAGGTGCTGCCGGGTGGTGGCCTGGGGAGAGAGAAGGACATGTCGAAGTGGCGCGAAAAGGATAATCTGCAGCTGCTGAACATCATGTTTGATGTCACACCGGCGGAGTATATCAAAATGGTGGTCACGGAGCATGGGTGTTTGCCGCCGAGTAGTGTGCCGGTCGTGCACCGTATTTTCAGCGAGACGGTGTGAATGAGGTAGATGTAGGACTTACGACGGGAAAGGATGGGTAGGCTGCATTGTGGGCGTTCGGGTCAGTCATTGGAGGGTCAGCATCGCAGGGAGCTTGGGGTTTTCGGCATATTTGACTGAATGAGTTATGTATGTTATGTTTCGAGCAGGGTAGTCCGCACTAATAATACGGGAAGCATCACTTCCTCTTGTCCTTCGACGTGGTACCTGAATAGACAACAAGAAAGGCCCAAGAGTACCAAGCGGCTGTCAATAGTGTCCCGCAGGAGTCGTAAATCCTAAATTCCATTTGCGTTATGAGAACCACAAGCACGGTTCTTTTCCGGAAGTACAACATGCTTGTGTCTATCCCATGAGACGATATTACTTCGATCCGAGCACCCATTAAAGCGCCCTAAGCCCTGTGTATCGGCACAAGCCAGGGTGAGAGCGCTTCAACCGCCGTTGTTATATTTTAGAAGCGACCGTCTGGCGAGAGCCGTAGCGTGGAGAGGTATGGAGTAGACGTCTTGATTCGGATACGGCTTAGGGGAGCAACAGAAAAACTGCAACCTCGACGCGTCGTCTGTTCCGTCGAAGATGTAGAAGTAAGGCCGCCTCAACTCGAAACGGCAAATTCTCATAGCTAGAAACACACGCACGCATCAGGCGCCCAAAAGCATAGTGTACATACATCTCGTTTTCTCTTCTTCACAGAGGGAAGCGCTCGTCCAGTCTGCCGCATGCTGCCGCCCATTACCAGTTCCGCTGGCAAGCCAGCAGCATGCGAGCTCCGCAAAGAACGGTCCGCGAAACTTGCTGTATTGCATTTTCTCCGCCCTAGTAACACAGAAAAAGAGAATCCGCTGGCGATTCTTCTTACCAGTATACCCACCGCTAGACAGAAAGAGATAGCAACGACATCTTGATGAAGCAGAAGAAGCAAAAGAACCCAGTCTGAGGGCACCTCACCGCGAGGGGCCCGATGGTGACAAAACGGTCGACGCAATAGTCATTCGCGGAATGTTGAGCACTTTGCCGAATAGCGGGCGCTGATCCTAGCGAGGGTGAAGAGCGAACAGCTGTCTTCGTGCGAGTTGGGTCGTATATAGCCTGAAGCGAATCTGGTAGCTCAGCGTGCAGTCGTGCGTGCTTACCCTGACCGAAGCGCTAGCAATGAGGTGAGGGATGGAGTCTGCTGGCAAGACTGAAGATGATGAGGAAGATGACCGGCGTCCCCATAGACTTCCTTACCCTTGACGAAAAAGGGATCGATATAGTGAAACGGAAGAATCGAAAATACCACCTGCAACAAACCCTGGTGAAGTGTCTTTCGGAAGTTTGAATGTCGCAGATGCAGATGAGGCGGCGCCCTAGTACCTTCGTTTGCTCCTCGGGTCCTCGTAACCACCATCGCCTCCTTCGTACGTTCGCTTTCTGGAGTAGTCGTCCCGGCCGCCACCGTACCCACCGTCGCGATCTCGATCTCTATAGCCGCCGCCGCCCGGTTCGCGCTTGCCGACTGGATCCCTGTTGCTGCCGCTGCCGAATCTATCTCCGCGGCCTCTATCGTCGGATCTGCCGCTGCCTCCACCATACCCACCGCCGTTGGGAGCATCTGATCCAGGGCCGTTGAAAGGTGGACGACCGCCATAGCCGCCTCCACCACCAAACCCACCTCCTCTGCCTCCACGCGGGCCAGATGGGGCGCCCTCAGGTGGTGCGCCGCTGCCGAATCCATTGCTCTGGTATCCGATGCCGCCTCTTCCGCCCCCACCATACCCACCTCTGTCGCCTCCAAAGCCGCCTCTGAAGCCCCCGCGGTCGCCAAACCCCCCTCTGTCGCCAAAGCCACCTCTTCCTCCCCTAAAGCCGCCGCGGAAACCACCGCCGAAGCCACCACGTTGGAAGCCGCCAGGGCCAGCGGGAGGGCCAAATCCAGGACCCAAGGGTCGCGCGGGCATGGCTTTGGTGTAGCCCCGCCCGCCTAGGCCGCCTCCGAAACGACGGGGGCGCCAGCCGGATACGGTGCGGCCGCGTTCGACGTCGACGAGAACGCGGCGGTCTTTTATGCGAATGCCGTCGGTTTCTTTGTAGGCGGCTGTGAAGGTTGGAGCTCTCGCGTTAGTTATATAAAGCCCGTGCAAGGGATGGAATTGGGGCGGTTGGAGTAGCTGTACCCTTCATGTCCTTCTCGCGCTCGTACACGATGAACGCGTAGCCCATGTGCTTCTTCTTGCTGGACTTCTTCTTCTCATCCGCGTGCGTTTCTGTTACGATTCGTATCTGCAATCCACTAGTTAGCTCCATCCAAATCTGCTTCACTCGCGCCCGAAATGCCCACTCACCCTCTCAATAGGTCCAAACCGCCCGAACTCCCTCTCCAAGTCCTTTTGCTCAACATCATACCCCAAGCGCGCCACAAACAGCGTCTTGAACGCATCGCCCCGAACCTGCGGGTCCTCCGCCGGTTTATAGTCCTTGATTCCCTCCGTCAGCAGGTGCTCCTGCTTCTCCTTCTTCTCGAGCTTGACCCGGTCGCGCTTCTGCAGCCAGGACTCGGTCGGCTGGTAGTCGTCCGTCTCCTTGTACTCGTTGAGCGCGTCGAGGAACTGGCCGACGCCGCCGATCTTGTTCGTGTGGCGCTCTTCGGGAGCGTGGTCGGAGGGGGGTAGGTAGCGGAGGGCGGGGCGGGGTGCGAAGAGCGCGAGGAGGTTGGGGGGGAGTTTGTCGGTCATGGTTGCGTGTGGACAGTGAGGAGGGTGGAGGGTTCTGCGCGTGTCGCTGACTCGTGCTGGCGGTCGATTCTTACACGAAGATGAGGAGGAGGATGTCCAAGTAGCTCATCTGTGCGGTAGGGGAATGAGGGTTGATGCGATGAAGTGAGTGGGGTGAGAGTGATGTAGCAATGGTGGAGGAAGTTCAGGCTGTCGCGTTCAAATTCAGGAGCGCGGCAAGTTCCGTCATGGCCGAAGACTGCGACCTCGATATCAGATGCGCCAGCATACAAACCCTCTATAATCCAGAGCTCTCAAGCAATCACCTATCGCCATGCCCCTAACAGCGTTAAGAACCGTCTCCAAACCCCAAGTCAGTCTCACACCCCCTTCCTCATCCCACCAACCGCATCCTAACCCCCCAGCTATAGAACGGCGTCGGCGCCTTCATCCTCCAATGCAAGCGCCTCGACTTCCACTACTGCGACTGGGCCGGCAGTTCCCGAGGCATGAACTCCTTTCTCAAAGGCACACTCCCCGCCTTCGCCAAAGCGAATCCTCAGATCGAGATCACCGTCTCGCCGCGACCAACCAAACACCCGGTGATACGGGGCCACTACATCAATGGGCGCGAGAAGGCGATTTGCGTGCGGAAGATGGATCCGAATCAGATACTGCAGAAGGCTGAGCTGTGAGTATCCCGTAGCTTTGGGGGAGATGGAAGTGGGCTGACGGAGGGAACAGCTTGAGGGATGCGAGTGGGGAGAAGCTGAGGAGGGAGGTCAGGCGGCCGGTGAAGAGTTTGAATGAGAGTGTCAGGGGTATTTGGAGTCCGTTCCATGCGCCGATTGAGGAGAAGAGGTGGAAGATATGAGGGCTCTGCTTGTCGGGCATTCAAGGAGTTGAGTGGCATACGCGGTGCTGAGTACCTGCGCTGGACATCCAGAGGCGTTGTCAGTGAGACGAAGGGGTGTGATTGCACAAGTGGTAGCCAGTATTTTGGACCTGTAAGAAGCATGGCATGGAGTACCAGGTGGAGTTTTGATGGGCTGTAGTATGTTGTATAGTGTCCGATCTATCATTGGGAAGGCTTGAGATGTTGGCCACTCAATTGCTAAGGCATAGAGTTATTGCGAAACTTCATTGAACGTCAATGCTTGCACTCCCTGCGGGTTCGAAAAGGCATGAGTTGAGGTTGATTTAATCATGACAGCGAAGGACAGAACCAGTGTGCCTGACTTGAATTCCTCCGTGACCGGCTGGGCCACGGTACTTTCTGCGTGATGAGAAACCAAAGCCCACGCTCAAACGCCCTCTCATGCTTCAATAACAAAAGATAGGCGAATCGCGACAGCAACGTACGCGCCGCACAACCAAAACGCTCAGAACGCACCCAACACCAAAAGACGATAGATCTCAGACCACATCACTCATTACAACTACGACGTCCACTCAGTTACCTTTGCTCGTTCAGCACGCCGCTTAAAGCCCTCAGCACATCGCCCGTGCCGATATCCTCAGTTCCACTCCCCTCTTTGATGTCCTGTTCTCTCTTCTCCAGTCGCTCAGCCGCAACACCGAGTATTCGGTCCGCCACACGCTCGGCTGCAAGCCGATACTGTGCTATTCTGTGCACGCCGTCGGCGAAGAGGTCGACGGTCGGTTCTAGGGACGTGGTGATATGCTTTAGTCTGGCTTCTAAAGCGTCTGTTGTTATGTTAGACGCGTACGTTGACGGCTGCTGGTCGGCTGTTGAATCCAGTGAGGGCTTGGAGGCCGAGTTCAAAGTATCGAGGATTGCTACTTGAGACAGATCGTCGAGTAGTGAGGGATCTATGGATGTCGTCGATTGCGAAGCTTTCGGATAGCGCTCGGCTCCTGCTGTTGCTGGGGGCTGCTCGGGGCTTGAGGCGTTAACGAGCGCTTCCCAGGAGCGCTTTTCCTCTTGTAGTCTGCGATCGTAGAGCGTCAGAGGAGGCGTTACAGAAAGGGAGTTTCAAGTAAATACACACCGTTGCACCTCTGCTTCGAGCTCTAGCAACTTTGCGGCGTTCTGTATGTTTCGGGGATTCGGCTTCTTGACCAGGACCGCGTCTCCTGACTCGTCCTAGAATTTTTTTAGTTTCCAGTTGCTAGTGTCCTGCTGAGCGAATCCCTCTTACCCTACTGAACCAGTCCGTCATCTCCGATTTATTTGCGAAGTCGTCCAAAATCTCCTGCTGTATCGCTCGAGCTTCTCGAGTCAGCCGCTTCCAGGCTTACATACGGGTCTGCAGGTGCCACTCACCAGCCAGAATTGCATTTGTATCCGGGTTGCCACCTGACGGCTTCTCAGGCAATGCTCTTGACCCGCACCAAGTGAGCAGTTGCTTCATGCGTCTTGGCTCCGGTAGACTCTGTTCAATATGCTTGTAAAAGTCCTGCGTCTCGACCTCTGCATGCGGTACAGCTGTACCATCCCAGAAGTCAGCCTCGACAGATTCCAAAATCTTCGTGTCCGCTGCCTTGACATGGTCATTGGTAACGGAAGCGTGCCCACCATTCGATGTTCCAGAATCTATTAGAGAAGATGCGCGTCTCCCCCGCATCCCTGTACTGCTCCGTCTATGCCCGTCTTTTCCACTGCCCTTTCGCATCTCCTTATTGCGCCGTATGATGGGGGTGTCTGCGAATGGAAGCGCAATCTTGGTCGCATCGCGCTTCTTCTCCACAATCAATTGTTCGCCATCGCCTACCGGCTCTACACTGACGGCACGGTCCTGCTCGCCAGGAGGCGCCTGATGTGCCGTCTTCTTCGCGCGCTTCGGCTGGTTTTCTGGTGCAGGCGTAGTGATCTGGTCTTTATCGCCTGACAGACGCGCTGACCGCCGCCTTTTTGGATTGAGTCCGTTCTCGCTGGGCGCAGGGGCAGGCGCTGATTCGGGGATGGGGTCCTTTTTCCGTCTCAAAGGCTTCGGCTTTGCTGGCGCTGCGTCCGCCGCTGGAGTGGGGTCCGCGGCTGCGCTCACGGTGCTGTTCGTTGCCTGTTTCTTCTTCGACCGCGTTCGCGAGAAGGTAAAGCCGTCTTCGTTCTCGTCGTACGCTGCTCTTCGTCAGCCTCCTTCGGCTCTGGAGTCCGACCCCATGAAACGCGGCGCTTGACTGCATCCGCGCCTGCTCTCTGCGTCTCTCTTCCCCTCTGAGAACTGTTCGCGCACTCACCGGCCTTCGCCGTCTTCGCCGTCGCGCCGTTCGCCCTTCCATTCTGCTTCGCGCCCACACCGCCTGCACCCGCCCCATCCGTCTTCGCCTTCTTCACGGGCCCCGCCTCATCCTCGTCAAAAGCGTGTCTCGCGCTTCTCCGTCGCGTCGGCCGTTGCGTGGACGACATGGAGAGGGTTTGCAGCGGCGAGCGAGTGATTACCGTGGTCATTGAGGCCGAGAATCCGGGGTCTACGCGCGTTCTAGCAGGCGCGATGCGGGTCGCAGTAAGGTGAATTCGACAGTGGCCGTATATATGTTTGTGGAATGTGAAGTGCGGTTCGGTGCGTGATGTCGCGTCGTAAGGATTGTCTGGGGGCTAGCAATGCTGGTTGCGACGGGCGGCAGCAGGCCGGTGGTTCGGAGGGGATGGGTGGTGGGTTTTGCCAAGCCGTGCGAATGTAAACAAGGGCACGTGATCCTCCCCTTCTTCACCATCTGTGAGCACTGTCGAGTATCATCGCCACAAGGGTATCTGATGTGGAGGAATCGCTAGATGCTCCTCAAGCTGGAGTGCATCCCGTATAAGTCGACTCTTGCGTCGCACCCAGCAGTAACTACACACAGCAACTGGTTGCATCACTCAGCTGTGATTTAACATTCTATAGGGAAAGATACCGAACTGTGAAGCCGCTCCTTATCGTAGCTTTCTGGAGCTTTACAGAGAACCTGCAGCTCAATAAGGAAGCACATCCCCTACGCGCTTATCTTTCTCTCCTCCATCCCCCAGAGTCCGCGAGCTCATTTGCTCTTTGCGTTGATAATGTCCACAAACGCCGGCTTCAAGCTGGCTCCACCGACCAAAAACCCATCAATATCCTCCTGCTTCGCCAGTTCCCCACAGTTCTTCTCATTCACACTGCCGCCATAGATAATCCTCGTCTTCTCCGCCGCCTCATCGCTCACCTCCTTCTTAAGCCACTCCCGGATCGCCTTGTGCACTTCCTGCGCCTGCTCAGTACTCGCCACCTTCCCCGTGCCAATCGCCCAAATCGGCTCGTACGCGATGACGATCTTGCTCCAGTCCTTGCCAACAGCGTCCGCAACGGCCTTCAGCTGGCTCGTCACGACCTCGATCGTCTTTTCCGCCTCCCGCTGCTCCAGGCTCTCGCCACAGCACAATATAACGCCCAGCCCGCCGTCCAGCGCGGCCTTGGTCTTGGAGGCGACGAAGTCGTCGGATTCGGAGAGGATGGTGCGGCGTTCGGAGTGACCGAGGAGCGCCCAGGTTATGCCGGAGTCTTTGAGCTGTGAAACAGAGATTTCGCCCGTGAAGGCGCCGTTGGGCTTGTTGAAGACGTTTTGGGCGGCGACTTCGAGGCCAGAGCGGAGGTGCTCGCGGGTTAGGAGGAGGTAGATCGTTGGCGGGGAGATGACGACTTCTGTGGGTGGGATTAGTAGGGGGTGGTGGGCGGATATAGCTGTTGAGGAGGGTTGAGGAGCCTGAGGTGAGCTGAGGTAGATGGGCGAGGACCAGTTGATCAGGGTCTGTAGGGGAGAGGGTGCGTGGGTCGATGCGAACAGAAATTGACGGCGTACCAACATTCTCGTCGATTTTGGCATTGTTGAGGTTCTCGATGATCTCTTTGATGGACTGAACCGTCCCATTCCTGTGGAAGGTGGTGAGGAATCAGCTTCAGCTCACACAAATACCTCCTTACTGCCCTTTTTCCAGCGTGGAGGGGTAGAATACGGACATCTTGAAGTTCCCGCCGACGAAGAATTGGCGCGCCATGGTTGCTAACTTGCTTGCTAGTCAAGTCAATTGACTTTGTGATGAGTTCTGTAGAGGCTGTCTAAGACGTCCGAAATGCGTGTAGCTGTGGTGGAGTGTGTTGTTGCTGAAGGGTTGGGCAAAAGCAATGGCGGGGCAGCGAGCTGACGCTACGGCGGGGTGGAGGGGAGTCGGCAGAAAGCGGAACGTTCAATGTCAACCGCGATTTGTTCCGCACCACCAAGGTAAAGCAGATTGAAAAGAAGAGTACCAAGACACCCAGCTGGAAATGAGCACTGATGGCTCTTGGAACAAACAAGAAACAAAGTCAGTTCTAGCAGATTGAGGTCTGGTAAGTCAAACAGCAATCGCTGACTGGACCTCACTATCATCATATAGGGATACTTGCAACCGTACTTAGTCCACAGGCTTCAACAGGAGGCCGTTGTCTCTCACCAGATATCCGTGTTAGGGTCCTTCTAGTCCCGGCATTCTTATACAATTCCTCCATCACGGCCAGAGTGAGTTCCATTGGAATTTGGTTGTCAACTGTGTCCAGCCTTTTGTGGTAAGGCTGCTATCGATAAATTACCCCAGAAAGTGAGACATCATGCATCAGCATTCATTACCAACGAATGGTGCAGCTTCCGGCACACAAAAGGACCTACTTCGTCGCCTTCTTCCTTATGAGCCTTATCACACTGCTAGCTCGACGTGCTCCAAGGCTCTCATCCACCAATTCCGTACTACGAGTGAGCAATGCCCCAACGAAGCCCCCCAGTAAACACCCCCTAACTCCCTCTCAGCACCCCCCAGCCCGCAAAATGCACATCCAATCGATCCCCATGTGGACCGGCAGCGGCAACAACTACGCCTACCTCATCAGCGACAGCAGCACCAAAGACGCCGTGCTGATCGACCCGGCACACCCCCCCGAAGTCCTCCCCGCCGTGCGGCCGCAAACCCAAGACAACAGCATCAAGCTGACCTCGATCATCAACACGCACCACCACCACGACCACGCTGGCGGCAACGCCGAGATGCTCAAGACGTACAAAGTCCCCGTAATCGGCGGCCGCGACTGCGCGAGAGTGACCAAGACGCCCCGGCACGGCGAGACGTTTACGGTCGGCAAGGACATCCGCGTCACGGCGCTGCACACGCCGTGCCACACGCAGGACAGCATCTGCTACTTCATGGAGGACGATGCGAGCGACGAGCGGGTCGTGTTTACGGGGGACACACTGTTTATTGGCGGCTGTGGGCGGTTCTTTGAGGGCACGGCCGAGGAGATGCATAAGGCGCTCAATGAGACGTTGGCGGGGTTGCCGGATGACACAAGGGTTTATCCGGGGCATGAGTATACGAAGGGGAACGTTAAATTTGGGGTTACAGTGCTGCAGAATGAGGCGATCAAGAAGCTGGAGGAGTTTGCGAATAATAATAAGCAGACACAGGGGAAGTTTACTATTGGGGATGAAAAGGTGAGTGCAAGATAAGGGGGAGAGGGCGTAGGTGGAAGTCTCGTGTTCAGGGTGGCTGACTTTTTGGCGTAGCAACACAACGTCTTCATGAGGGTCGATGACCCCGCCGTTCAGAAGGCCGTTGGCAGCAGCAAGCCCGTGGAGGTGATGGCGAAACTACGGGAGATGAAGAACAACTCGTAATCGGACCTGATGAACGACCGCGGTAAGCAATGTTTGCTAGGTGTAAAAATGTTCTGGTTGCCGAAGAATGTTTCTCTATCATGCCTTGTGATCACCCTGCAGAGGGTCATAGAACCGCTTTGTAGCGTGGGCGTTGTTCGAAACTTACCTAGGTTTTGAGGTCACGGTTCCCAAACAGGTAATCAGTCCTTTTCGCAGAACGTCGCAGACCGAGGAGTGGGTTCATTTCCGCGCCCAGGAATCAATTCGCCTGTGCCGGCTCAGCGCCAGCTTGAAATTCTGCACGAACGCAATGAGGCGCTCCGTGGACCTTGCGATGACCTGCGAGGATTCGACGCTGCACCAAGCTCTCCTCGTACACATGATGAACTATGCGCTCCACAACGTTTCCTCAACACAACTTGCTATGACCGATTGGAGAAGATGGATTTTGAATGCTGAATCCGAGTTCTCAAGCATTTGACAACCATGGCATTGTGAGACGTTCTACGGAACGGTCATAGCTGCCAATTAGTGATGCGGTGGAGATCGGACAATGGTTTTCAATGGAGTGGCCAAGATAGAACTATAAAATAACTCCCAGATTCATCTATATGCGAGTAACATCAGGACGACGCTTAACCCTTCCAATAAGACCCTCCATCAAAAAGCACAACGGCAAGGTCGGCGATGCTGGAGCTGGCTGAACACGTCTACACAAAACCCAAGTCTCCCGCGCGGCGACGCAGTCGTTCTACGGAAGTCCGAGGGTGTTACCGAATTCGGAATACCAACATCTCCGCAGAACGACGCAGATCGAAAAGTTACTCGGCTTGTAACTGGAGGCAACAAGGATCGAGAGTGCCGTCGTGTTCGTTTTTCTTCGCCTGCGCTGTGACGCTGGCATCCTCCACGATCCACATGCACTTCTGCCTCAACCTGCACCATGATGCTGGCATCCGCCGCAACCCTCATGCTTTTTGAAAGTTTCGTCGGCCCTGGCATCGCCGGCGCTGGCTGAACATGGTGAGTAGTTGTGCTGGCCTTTTGTTCCGTCCGCGGGATGGCTATGAGCGCTGAGGGGGGCAGCGTCGTTCTAAGCGAGAATCAAATATTACCGTATTCGGAAATAGGAAGGCATCCGTGGAACGACTGCGAAGCACGAAGTGTTATCTGTCTTGGGCCTCAGGCTGTTGCGCTGCCCGATCGTGCTGAGTTTGCGAGGACTCCGGCGCTAATTCTATATGTCGTCGTCGCTGCTGTGGTCTATAAAGAAGTGAAATTGCGAAGGCGTTCTACGGAACCACTGTTATTGCCGTATTCGGAAGTGCGATACCATCCGTGAAACGACGCGAAAAGTAAAAATGTTCCGCGCTCTTTGTAGGTGCGTTGTTCTGGTGAAAGCCAGCCCGCTGGCCACGCTGTCTTCCAGGCATGCTCTAGTCCATTACAGCACTCTGACAGACCGACAGACCGTTACTGATTGTTGTTGTCGCTGCTGGGGCTTAATGATGATGAATTTGCAAAGGCTCTCTATGCAAGCAGTCGCTTTGCCGTATCTGGAAGAAATGGCGTACAGTCATCGCGGTTTTTGAAGTCCAGAAATACAGCTACGGCTTTCTTGACGAGTGGGGAACAATCCTTTGAAGTCGTCTGCTGAGAACGGTTTTGACCCTCACAGGCGTCCGCCAAAATCATTCTTCAGCATTTCATTACCCATAACGACTAAGCCGGTATGCTGATAAGGGTAATACGAGGAGCCATCAAGTTACGATGCTTTCAGGCATGAGCCTTGGCCCAGTCACGGTACCAATCCAGGCAGTCGGCATTTGCAACAGAGGCGGAAGTCTTGACGTTCAGACCGCAGAGAATTTGCTTCACTGCGCCCTCAACCCTGTGAAGCGGTTAGTGTACTTCCTTGAATACCTTATAAATCAAGGATAGAGACTGTGCAGCGGAGAAAGCAAACGTCACCTACTTCTTGCCGTTTGTTGTCACCGGGATCTCCGGGCACTCCTCCACGATACCAGGCACGTGTCTCGCCGACAACTCCTCTTTAATCGTCTTCTTTATCCTATCCGCCAGCTGTTCCGAGAACTCCTTCCCCTCAGCCATCTTCAAGAACAAGCACACCGTTTCATCCGCATCGATATTCTCCCTACGACGACCAATGCACAAAGCATCAGCCACCTTGTCCGCAAAGTGCTTGAGCAAGACGTTGTAGATCTCCGCCGAGCCAAACCGCACACCAGCCGGCTTGAGTATCCCATCACTACGACCAAGCATAACCAATCCCTTTGTCTCGGGATTGAAGCGCACAAAGTCACCGTGATGCCACACGCCTTTGAATTTCTCAAAGTAGCTCGAGCGGTACTTCTTGGCGCCTTCTTTGCCCCAGAACGCCACTGGCTGGCACGGGAATGGCTTGGTGCATACCAAATCGCCGGCTTCGCCCGTGCTCGTGATGTCGTTACCGGCGTAGTCATAGGCCGCGCAGGCCATGCCGAGACCGAGACACTGGATCTCGCCTGCGTGAACGGGGAGGAGTGGGTTGGGTGCACCGAACAGAGAGATGATGTCTGTGCCACCGGTGATACTGCCCAAGTTGATTCTCTTAGGGAAGGCGTCGTACACGTACTGGAACGTTGATGGCGCGAGGGGAGAGCCGGTGGAATAGATGGCTTGCAGGGTTTCGAGGCCCAACTCGTTTAGAGGTTTGCAGCCTTTCTGTTCCAGCACCGAGAGATATTTTGCTGATGTACCGAAATGCGTGATTCCCAACTCGTCTATTAATCGCGGCATAGCCAGATCATCGGGAACAGAGGTCAACGGATCGTCGGGTGAGACGGAGCGGAAGGGAGATCCGTCGTAGAGGACGAGAGTAGCGCCAGATGCAAGGCCGGAGACGAGCCAGTGCCACATCATCCATGTGCAGGTCGTGAAGTAAAACAGGCGGTCGCCTGATCGAATGTCGCAATGAAGGATATGCTCCTTCTTATGTTGCATCAGGGTGCCGATTGCGCCATGCACGATACATTTGGGCGCTCCCGTAGTACCAGAGCTGTACAGGATATACACCGGATGATCTGCTGGTAGTTGAGCAAATATCATGGCAGAGTTCTGGTCGCCCAGCGCGACAAAAGACGCGTAGTCGTACGCTTTGCCCGAGGACATCTTGATCGTGGATGTGTCGATGTCTACCGTCTGCACCGTTTGAAGCATCACGACAGCCTGCAGAGTGGGTAGGGCTGCGACAATGTCGACAAGCTTGTCCATGACAGGGTGACTTCGGCCATTGTAGAAGGCCGCATTGTCCGTAAACAGCAGCGCCGGCTCGATCTGTTGCATTCGATCAAGTACAGCTGTGACGCCTGTGTCCGGACTGACTGCCGTCCAGATGCATCCCAGCGAAGTCGCAGCCAACATCGCGACCAAGGCGTTGGTATGGTTTGCGACATAGCCTGCTACTCTGTCGCCTTCTTTCAGATCGAGTGCTATCATGCCTGCCTGACATTGCCGCACGCGCTCCTGTAGTTCAGCCCAGCTGACAGTCTCGCGGGTCGTTTCCGTGGCTGCGATGACGGCTGGGGAGTTCGGGTCGACGTGTTGTGTAGGGTATAAAAGATTCTCCGCAAAGTTGAGCCTTGCACCTTGGAAAAAGCTAGGACGAGGGAATATCGGCGCCATTTCATCCACGACCTGTCAACCGAACGGTGAGAGTCTGTCTTGTACACAAAGTATCATGATGGACCGTACCTCAGTGTACTGCTGGGACGCTCGTATGCCACAGTATTGCCATACTTCGCCCCAGAGCTTCGCAATGTTGTTAGTGCTCCACGAATGGGCTTCCTCATAGCTCTTCAATTGGAGGTTGTAAGTCTTGTTAAGCCGCTCAACAAATTGCCAGAGGTGGGTTGACTTTGGTGATGGGTGCTCCCAGAGCTTCACTGCCTGGCCGGATAAGCCATTGGCAGTCCTGGTATCTGTGTCCAGTGATATCGTCATGCTCGACCGTGCCTTACTCGGATTCTGTTGTCCTAGGGCTGAAAAGGTTGTATGCGGGAATAGAGAGGTTGTGATAGCGGGGAAATTGCCGATTGTACTGAGCGCAGAAGCAGAGGCTGAGCAATTGATCTGTCAAGCGGTAATATCTCAGACGGGAAACTGGTTTCTTTAAGTATTTGATCTATATGCGTATACGAGTGTATCTTCAGAAATTTACGCGGGTTAAGGCAAGGTACGGACAATGGCGGAGAGCAGTTCCAGATCTCCGCAGGGCTGGAGATACGGCTTGCCTCGGCTGAGTAAACATTAAATCTCCCCACCGCTGCCTTCGAACTTTTGTAGACCTGCACCGAGAAAAGAGCTCGTAATGTGAAAGTAGATAGTCGAGAAGCTTGCAAAGCAAACCAAGTCCCAAACATATCATGAGGTGATGGTTCCACAAGCGACTCAACCGGCCTGTGGTGCAGCTTCACAGGTGTACGGGGCGGGACGATCCAGGTCAACGGCGGCAATTACAAGTGCTCGTAGACTAGACATCTTAGCATCCGAATGAGCCTCCTTGCAAGGTCGTAGGCCACGTGATGATTTGGAGCTGGTCATCGCCTTTGATCTCTTGGAGAAGCCTGTGCATTTCGGAAGCTCAATTGCACAAAGTCCTTATGAGATGGTCCCACAGCCGCAGATGGAGGCGGAGCCTGAACCGAGTTGGATATGGCTGTCGCTCAATGGATGCGCCGGGCAGCACACTTCGAGGAGATTTACCCATGATCTTACGAGACTATCCGATCCAATCTAGGAGAAGGTCTTGAAGTGTTCAGTTAGGTATCGCGTGTAGAGCGTCAGTAACAATAGTCGGCGAGCAATTGCAGAGTAAACTCTGCAGCAGTTCAGCCTGCCTAGCTTTCCACACCAGCGAATTGTACTCTTCTTCCCGAAGCCAATGTGATACGGTCACCGAAATCTGGCTCGGAGAATATCAGGCACGGTATTTGACCGTAGCAGACGCCTCTTTTAGCCAAGCTTGCTTGATGCAAGCCGGAAGGCGCGGATGTTCTTCGCTGACCAGGCACGACGACATCGCTGAGCAGTGAGTCGGTTTGCATGATCTCTGCAGACGTTCTTGATGGTGAAGCTGCAGTCATGACGTTTATCAGCCCTACTCGCGGCTAACGGCTGTACCCCTGACTGCCCAGGTGGGCGTGAAGGTGGCCTACCAATCAGACACCAGCAGACCAGGGGAGAAGGTGCGGGTGGGAAATGCAATGGCCGGCCGCGAGATGCCGGCGAGAAATTGCGACGAAAAGTGCCGCCATCCCCTTTCCTTTCGCCTCTGTTATGTGACAAACAACTTCAATCGCTCCTTCTGCTCTGTCGCAACTCCGCTCCTTTGCACCTTACTCTGCAGCCTCCACTCCAGGCGCTCTTCAAAGCCGGACGCTTGTGAGGACTTGGCACCGCTGGAAATTGGAAGCTCCGGAAGCCACACGCCGCGCCACCGCAACCGTTGCCAGCTCTTGTTCTTCTGCACACCTCAATCGTCCTCGAACGCGAACACCACCACCACAATACAGCTACCAGAGAAATCAACTGAGAATATACACCCTTAAGGCAGCAGCGCAGCCGGTGAGTCAGCCTGTCCCGTACATCGCGCAGACACGGGAGTAAGCGCTACTCTCGGCCGAGAGCGCTGTCTGCCTTCCGCCCAGAGCCGGACCAGATGTTGTCGCTTTCTCATCAACCTTGACGCCTTTAATACTCTGGTGCAGCAATTGACTGTTGAACTTACAGGGCGCTCGACACGCTGTTGAGGGAACGGCGTTCTTCCGAATATATTCCTCCTCTGCACAGCCCCCGACCCGCTACGACAACAAAGAAACTCTGAAGCGCGTGCGATATACCTACTAGCTTCTACATACGGCTCGAGCGCAACCTAAATATACTAGCAAGATGCCTTCGAGAACCATGAACCCTTTTACCAGCAACGCTGCGGTCGCTTCCTCCTTTGACGCGACCGACGAGAAGCGCTCGCTGCGGAGGTCGTCTGTCTCCCGGCCAAACAATAGGTTCACCTCATTCTTCTCAACATCGCCAAAGACAAGGGATGCTGCAGCGCTTCAAGCTGCAGTCATTGCGCAGCAGCACGCTCTACTGAACTCACCGTCCCCTCAGCCGTTCAACTCCGCGACTCTATCTTTGCCCACAATCTCTCTTTCGACCGCTACTGGAGAGAAGTCAAAGATTGAGGAGCGGACCACCACCCTGTTCCAACCACCTTCTCCCGCGGAGGTGCGACGCATCGCTAAAGCACATGCACAATTCGGACCACTAGGCTCCAAAAACTACCTATACTCGAGCCGGTTCGAAGGCGGCGAGTTTCCAGATCCAATTGAAGACGAGCCTCCCTACTACTTCCTAATCACCACTTACATCAGCTACCTCGTTCTCATAATATTCGGGCACGTCAGAGACTTCTTCGGCAAGCGATTCCGACAAGAGCGTTACAGGCATTTGCAAGAAAGGGACGGTTATGCGCCGTTGAATAGCGATTTCGATAATTTCTACGTTCGACGATTGAAAATGAGGATCAATGATTGCTTCGCACGGCCTACCACTGGTGTTCCTGGACGGTTCATAACGCTTCTGGACCGCAAGTCAGATGATCACAATCTCACCTTTAAGCTGCAGGGCACTACCACGGAGACCTTGAATATGAGCTCGTACAACTACCTAGGCTTTGCTCAATCCGAAGGCCCCTGCGCGGATGCAGTGGAAGCATGCGTTAGAAAATACGGCGTCAGCACTGCGAGTACCCGAGGCGATGCAGGCACTTCGGACTTGCACGTTGAAGTCGAGGATCTGATCGCCAAATTCGTCGGCAAAGAAGCATCCATGGTCTTCTCAATGGGATTTGTCACGAACGCTACAGCTTTCCCAGCTCTGGTCGGCAAAGGCTGCCTCATAATTTCCGATCAACTCAACCACACCTCTATCCGTTTCGGCGCACGGTTATCTGGAGCAATGATTGAGATGTTTAAACACAACGACATGAAAGATCTAGAACGTCTGCTTCGAGAAGCCATAGCCCAGGGCCAGCCACGCACTCACAGGCCGTGGAAGAAAATTCTCGTAGCTGTGGAAGGCTTGTATTCCATGGAAGGCACTATGTGTGACCTCCCCGGTCTGGTCGAGCTTAAGAAAAAGTACAAGTTCAACCTCTTCGTTGACGAGGCCCACTCCATCGGCGCTCTCGGCCCGCAAGGCCGAGGGGTATGTGACTACTTCGGCATCGACCCCAAGGAGGTCGACATCCTCATGGGAACACTCACCAAGTCTTTCGGCGCTAACGGAGGCTACGTTGCGGCGGACAAGGCCATCATCCAGAAACTCCGCGCTACCAATGCCGGCACTATCTTTGGCGAGTCACCGACTCCCCCGGTGCTTATGCAAATCGCATCGGCCCTCAAGATCATCACCGGCGACATTGCTCCTGGACAGGGCGAGGAGCGTCTCCAGCGTCTGGCGTTCAACTCTCGCTATCTCCGCCTCGGCCTCAAGCGTCTCGGTTTCATTGTCTACGGTCATGACGACAGCCCGATCATCCCGGTCATGTTGTACAACCCCGCGAAAATGCCTGCATTCTCCCACGAGATGCTGCGTCGGAAGATCTCTGTTGTGGTTGTCGGCTACCCGGCAACGCCCCTCGTCTCCTCCCGCGCCCGCTTCTGCGTCTCGGCAGCCCACACGAAAGATGACCTTGATCGTATGCTCACGGCCTGCGACCATATCGGCGATATCCTCCAGCTCAAGTTCTCGAGCGGCATTGCGGGCGGCCAGGAACCGATTCCGGACGGCCTAACAAACAAGGAGGAGCTTGAGACGAGAAAGGCGATCAGTCAGGGCGAGAAGGTCGTGGCGACGCCGCCGCGGTGGCGGCTCGAGGATGTGCTGAAGAGGGGCGTGCAGGACGTCAAGGCGCCCTTGCGGTAGCAGAGCCGCATTGCCAACGAGAGATTTGCGGTCTCAGCTGTTGTCTCCGGTGGACCGCGCAACACGGCACCGAACGATTCCGACTTCACGGTTTAGCGCTTATGCGATCGGCATGGCGACAAGGCTGCGAGGGTTCACCGGTCTGAGCGTCCCAATGCATCCATGGCGTGGGTGATCGGCGCATGCGCAGGGCGCAGGGCTTGCATCTGACGTTCCCGTCAGCTGGTTTGCTGCAACCTTGGCATTTCGCTGCATGCTCCGAGCAGTCCTCCATATCTCGCCTAATTTTTCTGTGCTTTTCTTCTCGACACGAGCTGGATGTTTGATAGACGTTTTTCTCAGCATGAGCATGGCGCTCGAGGCGTTTTTTCCTTTGTTACGCTTCCGGTTTTCTTCTGGCCAGTCCCAAGACGGGATTGTGCTTTTACGGACTCATTCGAACTTCAGGGTCTTGCAGATGCCGCCAAAAGCGTTGACTGCGCGGGCGAGTAATCGTAATATTGGTAATCATTGGCATTTTGTAGATGGACATTAGGGGACCTGGGCTGGCGCTGGGAGAAGGGGAAGGATGGCTTGGAGTTCCTCTTCCTTGTAGTAGGTAGCACTTAGGACAGTGGGATGAGGGACTTGAATGGGAAGAATCATCCACACATCAAACGCGACCTCGGTTGCCGTGTTGCCTTGTTGCCTCATCTTTACGACCACACCCTCTTTGTTCGAGTCACCCCTCAGGGCCGAGGGGAGCGGACGAGAGCCGTCCCTTCCGCGCGGATGTCTCAGATGCCATCCACACCACTCCCGTCGTACTTTATCGATTACCAAGTTGCTCTCCTTCGTCCGCTCGCCTCACTTTCGTTGATCTTTGAAACCAGGTTTTTACGGAAAGCGGAGATGCAATCGCCCAATCACGTACTTTTATACACTTTGGGAGGAAGCAAACAATCACGCGCGCACGCGTCGAGTATCCCGCGCCTGTTATTCCATCTTGAGAGCGGCTTGCGCTGGTTTCACTGCGTGGAACTGGGTCTCTAGAAGACTTCCACGACTTACTAACACCTCCGAGCGGGTACCTAATCTGTAGGTGCGGCTGGTGTGTTAAAGCTAGCGCGTTGTTTGCGGTGTTTGTAGTGCAGGAAGCGGCAATACAGATTGCTCGTATGCTGCGCAAGAGAGGGAGAGCCCCTAGGGTCCTTACAGGTTTGTTGCGAGTCTCAGAAGGCAGAGGGCGGAGGGCGGAGGGCTGAGGATCAAATAAACACCAATGCATACACGCGTCGAGTACGCACCTTGGCCTGCCTTGCTCGCGGAACGGTTACTTACTTTGAGAGGGCGACGAGGCTGTGGGCTGCGGCTGGTTCCACGACAGTAGACCCGGCCCCCAGACGGGAAGTGTTTTCACGATGCACTGTATGGTGTTCTTTCGAGTTCGTTTCAAGGCCGGAAGGCTGTCTGCATATCAAGGTCACACCCTCTTCTTCCCCGCTGCACAACCTGCAGTTGCTGGGCTGTGCAGTTGCTGTACCTCGGGGCAGTTTCCGGTCAAGAGTCACGACAGACGCGGGTGCGCGCTGTTGCGTGCTGTCGCGAAGGGTGTTTGGTGCTGAAGTTCTCGAGGGAGCATGCACGGGGGAGATGCGGCAGAACACATGCTCACGCATCGAAGCTTCGGATGCAGATCGATGACTCTTCCTTACAGACATGATAGAGTACTCCAATCTCGATGAAGGGTTCATCATCGGAATGATAAAGGCTGTCAAATCTTGCTGAGGACGAGGCTGCTGCCACGCCCGGGGCGCTGCGCCCTGTCTCGTGAAGTGAGGGTGTGATCAGGAGTGAGACGGGGCGTTGTCAAGATGGTTGCCTCCTCACGGCACGAAACCCTGTCCATTCTGAGAGAAGACGGGATGGCGAGAGAGATGACGGGAGGGGTTGCTGGATGGAATATCACGTGGGACATTAAGGCGCCGGACTTCGATTTTACCTCTAGGCATTCATCTGAACATCTTTGAAGCAGCTGCACGCCCGGAATCCTGGTCATTTCAGCTTTACATTTCTTGAAATGCTCGTTATGCGTTGTCACTTCTGAGACATTGCATTCGTTGCGGCCGTACTCCACGGGAGTTGCTCTTGCCAAAGGCTGTGACTCGATTGGATTTCTCACAGCCATTATGCTGTGGCATGTCTCGAAGGTGTGCAGTTTGCTCTGGATTACCGTACACAGCCCTATCCGAGAACCAGCGACCCGACAAGACCGCGCATTGCAGGTGGGTGTTACTGGTCTCATGACTGCACGTGTTGCCTGGCTGCGTCACTAGCATGCACCATAGACAGCTCTCCAATTCAAGAACTCTGCTCTCGCTGGCTCCGGTGAACAGAACAGGCGACGAGAGCCGCACTACTAAAGTGATCTTCCTGCCGGTCTGAAGAAGCAGAATCCTGATTTGAAGATGAGGCGGACATGTCCTTGTTGCCTTGCACTAGCGTTGGCATGCTGCATCGACGAAGCGTTTGCCTTGACCGGTCGCTTCGCCCTCGAACCACAGCCGCTCTCGGGGCGTATCTCCTGCACGCAGTCGAATGGATCGTCCAATTGCTGCAGAGGTTGCGCCTAACCGTTCAGTGTTTGTATGGGAGGATGCACTCGACCAGCATCCAGATGTTCTACCCGCGGATCGAGCAGCACAACCGGCAGCGTCGGATAGCAAGGCAGACAGCACCCTGAGAAGGTGAGGAGGCGCGAGGCTCTCATAGGTACTTATATTCCATGATTCTCCGACTCTCGTTCAGATCCTACTCGGCCCGTCCGTTGCAATCCTGCCGTCCGTTCTCTAAGGCAATTGTTTGACTCATCAATTGCATGCCCTTGCCCCTGCCCGCACTGTCGTCACCTCCAGTTCATTATCTCCCCTTTGACTGTTCACCTCTCATATCAATTCCTTCACTCAACCAATTTTCCGTTGTGGCAGCCCTCCTGTCACTGCCGCGAACATGATGGAGGGACCTCCCTTCCCGAACTTCCCTCCACCCCCGCCAGGTATGAGGATGGCTCCACCCGGAGCACAAGGCGGACCCAATGGCGATTTCGCTCCGCCGAGAGGAATGCAGATGAACCAAGGCCAATCTCTAGGCCACGCCCAACAGAACAGGCCGGCCTATTTAAAAACCTTCCCCACTACCTATCAAGGTTACACCTTCCGCAAAGTGCCGCAAGACAGTCTCCCGCCTGGAGAGAAGGTTGGGTGGAAGAACGCTCATAGAACCGAGATGCCTGTATCATCGGACGAGCTTGAAAAGCGCCTTCGAGAACGTCGCCTGAAGATCAAGAGGTCCGTGTCTGACGAGTTCATGGCCTTGACGTCCGAGAACCAAAAGGCGCAGGTTAATCGACTGGTTGATGAGAAGAAGATGGAGGAAGAGAATCCCTATGCGGAATGGAAACTGGCGAGCGTGGAGACTAAAATTAACCAGATCGGCCGGAGAACGATAGAGACCATCACCATCAATGTGATTCTACAACGTCAGCCAAAGGAAAGCCTCGGCGCGCAGAACCGCAGAACCTCTGGCACCTATGCCGCACCAAGACATGTCAATCTTGACGACCCAATCCAGATAAGGGAGAACAGGCCGAGCATGGCATCGAGAGATTCAATGCCGAGTGTGGCATCGCGAGAGACGATTCCGCAGATGCAGCAGCAACAGCGGCCGCCTATGCAACAGCCAATGCCACCACCAAGCCGACAGTCCATGCCGCAACCTCTACCTTCAATGCCTCCCGATTTCGGACCTCCACCACCACCACAGCAGCAGCAGCCAATGCAACAGCCAATGCCTCCACCAAGCCGACAGCCCATGCCGCAACCTCCACCTGATATGCTCTCCGACTTCGGACCTCTACCTCCGCCTCCTCCGCCCGGGCCGCCACAAATGCAAAACCGGCCACCTGGGCCTCCACAAAACCAACAACCATTCCCTCAGGGACGTCCAACCCCCCCGCCTGGTTTGTTTCCTGGTCAGCCTCCACCGGGTTTGTTCCCAGGCAATCCTCCACCGGGACAGCACTTCCAGTCAGCTATGCGGGTTCCCCCTCCCGGTGCTCATCCGGGTATAATACCTAACCAAGGGAGACCGATAGGCATGCAAGATCGTATACCGATTCCGCCACCGCCAGGCGTGTTCTTACCGGGTCAGCCAGGACAGCGCCAGCCACCTCCTCGCAAGGGATCGGCCGCTGCAGAAGTTGTTCTGACCGACAGCAGCAGTGACGACGATGACTGGCAGGATGTTTACAATGACCCAGATGAGATTGTAAACATCATCGATAACGGGCCTAAGAAACACAGGGGTTCCCGCGGGCGATCGCCAGCCGTCGAAACCGTAAGGATGAAGCACAAGAAGAGCAGAAGCCGCAGCGTGGGACGGACTCCTGCTCATAAGTCCGAGCATGGACAACACCACGACAAAGGACCGCGCCGCCGGACATCTAGGACTTACATCAAGGAAACAACAACCCACTCTGAACGTAACCCAACTAAGAGCCCTCGCCGGAAGGACAAGGACTGGGATTTTATGTCAGTCGGCAGCTCCTCCGACAACTCCGATTACCGCGGCCGAGCCGGCTCGTCTCAGTTCTCCGACGCAGGCGGCAGCGACTTCACCGTCCCGACCTCCTACAGCGGCGGGAGTCGCGATCAGCAGAACCACCGCCGCGGCAGCCTCCACCGGACGTCATCCGACGAGGAGCGCCACAGGCATCGCGTGAGGGAGAGAGTCCACCAGAAGCCGCCCGCCGAGGCCCCGTCCCCACCACGACACGGCCGCTCACCTCACCGCTACAGCCGCGGGCATGCCGGCCAACCCGTCGACATCATCCCGGGCTATGGGTACCCGCCTCGCGTCGAGAGCCGCCCTAGCATCCGTGCCCGCACCCCTGAGCGGCCGACCCTTGTCTCCTATGGCTCCTACCCTGCTGAAGTGCACCGCTACACCAACGAACCAAGGCGGCTCGAAGCTTCTCGGCCTCACGATCTCTACCCTTGGGAGGCCGCCGCCAGCTACCCGGCGGACTGGCGCCGGAAGGAGGACGCGATGGTCGAGCACGTCCTGCAGAACGACCGCGCTGCGTACCATCAGATGTTGGAGCGGGAGAGGAGGCATAAGGAGAGGGAGGTTGAGGAACTGAAGAGGGAGGCCCTTAGGCAGGAAGACCTGAGGGAGGAGAGGATCAGGCAGGATGAACGAGATAGGCTTAGGCATGAAGACAGACTTAGGCAGGAAGAGAGACTTAGGCACGAGAATGTTATGAGGGGTAACATCAGCAGGCCGTTGAGTCGGGGTGGGCTGAGGTATGCCGATCCGCTCTATCCGCGGTATTGAAGGCATTGGAAAGAGGGTCAGGCAACCTATTATCTTTCTTTTCTCTTCAGTCACCTGGATGCATTGAGGGGCGGATGGCTGGCGCTTGGGAGCCACCCGCAAATAGAAAGGGAACGTCTCGAGGCAAGTCAAGCGGCTGGCTGTCGGTCCAATGATGTTCTTAGTAGGCTCCTTGGTATACTGGTACTGACTGGGATGTGGCTGCGCTTCTCCTTAGTAATGCTCTATCAGTAATAAACCCTTCTCACTTCCTTGATCGAGGGCCTTAGTTCTCTTAGTTGTTAAATAACAAAGTGGTGGCTTGTGCATTCTAATGGCCTTGACGTCCTTCAACATGCTGATCCGAGCCATAAAATGTGAACTGACAACGCATAGAGTAGCTCCTCAAGCATCCTGTCATGACTCCTGGGGCAATCTGCGGTACAGATGGATCTGATACCGCATATTCTCGAGCTCAATCGGGTACTTGAGCCCATCTGGCAGCCGAAACCAGCGGCTCTCATCCGTGGAAAGCTTCTCCCAGTGCCGAGTTTCAACAGTGCTGCTCTCCTCGTCGTGTACACTGCCTAGCAGTGTATGGTCGAGCAACCAGTGCATGGGATACTTCTTCTCCGCTCCATTCAACGTGACCGTAGAATAGCTGCCCGGACTGTCGACTACGAGTAGCAGTGCGCCAGGCTGGAGAGTGGATGTGAGACTCGCAAGGAATCGCTGGGTTTTCGGTCGAGAGGTTGTGTAAAGCTCGTTTAGGGTGAACATCAAGGTCACCAGCTCGGCATCTCCTACCAACGCCTGTAGACTCTCCGTAGAGATGCCGAGAAGATCGGCTTGATGGAAGGTTGTCTGAAAGAGCGTGCTATCCAGAAAGGCTGTGTTGGCTGCTTTGGCTGCTGCCGAAGCGTATTTGGAAAGCGGCGGAGGACTGATGATGCTGTTGAGGAGCTTCTGGACCACGGAGTCCCAGTCCGCAATGTCTACACTTTTGACTGTGAACTGGAGGTCATTTGGAGTTGCGTGCTGGGGATCTCCGCCATCTTCCCGGTCCTTTCTCAGACCTCGATTGCGGAGATCGAGAAAGCCAGCCAGTGCTACAATTTCTGCGCCAGCTCCTCCGCCAAGACATGTAATGTTGAGCTTCTGACGTCCGGAAGGGGTTCCAAGTGACTCGAATGAGAAAGTTTGAGCATCGTCGTGATTTTTGTTAGGAATTTTTCGTAGATATTGCTCGATATCAAGGAAAATCTGCAGGTATCCTAACGCCCTGCTGGGACTCCATCGCACAGCATATGCCTCTAGGTAATCTTCTCTGCCGAACGCCCTACCGAAATCTCGGTTGTATAGATGCTGCTTCACTCCCTGGAGTAGTGGGGTAAGGTCCGAGCCAAATCGCTCCGGGAAGGAATTCCTGAAGATATTTAGGAGTAGTTGCTGAAGCTCCAGCGGGATTACGCTCGAAAAAGCGCCCTCTGTACTCAGCGCTTGAGTTTTCGACTTCCTATCGTTTCCCGGCTTTTGCTTGGCTGCTGGATGCTTCTTGCTGCTTGTTTTGCTAGATTTCACTGAACTGCCTGGTGCCATGGTGTAATAGATGGTGTCCGTTACAGAAAGTTAAAAGGGTGATAGGCTGCGATTTACCCTCTATCGATAAGCGTTGGATACGTCAACTTCCGCCAGGAGTCGACGTTCCAGCATCCCAAAAAAAGGTCCTGAAACCAACCGTTCAGACGTGCTCAGTGCAACCAAAGCAAAAGAAAAAGCGGATGTTGCTACGGATGCGGTTCGAACGCATGCGGGTTGCCCCAGTAGAGTTCCGAGTTGAACTTAAATCTACCGCCTTAGACCACTCGGCCACCGTAGCATAATCAAAAAAAATTTGGGTTTTAATATAATATACCTAGGAACTGTGGGGGATGATTATCGCGCTACTATGACATCGTCAAGGGGGGATCCGCAGTATAGCGGCACTCTGATATATTCTGCCTTTGGTGGTCATGACTTCCCCGGCTCACAGTGTCAAAAAGATGTAGCCTTATAGTGCAGCATCACAGAACTGCCGTTGATTGTTCCCGTTGACGAGGGGTCCGGATGTATTCTTATCAGTATCGATAAATAAATCAGCCTCGGCGTTCAAGAGCTGAAGACCCGCTACCAGACTCGATACCTCGTGCTTGCGTCAAACGTATAGCAAAAAGGCATTAGCTTGACAGAAGATAGCGTTCGATTTTACTACCGGATAGACAACTTTTACAGCTACAACTTCCACCATGCGCCTCGAATACGTCCCGAATCCACCTCAGTTCGATGACAAGGAGGACAAAGCTGTGGTCGAAAGAGTTAAAGAGCGAAGAGGAGAACGCGGCCTTCAACCACTAGATCTGACATTGCTGCACTCTCCACCGGTAGCAGATGGCTGGTGAGCAACGTCCGGCCAACATGCCCTCAGAGCCCGTCTAGATCACGAGCACTTATGGGACGTGCGTGATTCAAGCTACCTGTAGCTAACCGTCTCAGGAACTCATTCCTCCGCGCTATCCGCACCCAAACCTCCCTCCCAACCTCCGTCCGCGAAGTCGCCATATGCCGCGTTGCCATTCTGAACAAGGCCTGGTACGAGTGGGACCACCACGCACCACTGCTACGCAACGATCCAGCCAAAGCCGTGTCAGGAGAAGGTGTTCAGTACATCCTCGAAGCACCGCCGCATCCTTCGCCCGGTCAGGGACCTCTGGACGACAAGCACCTAGCCGTGCTCGCTTATACCGATGCCATGACACTAGATGTGCAGGTGCCAGATCTGGTCTTCAATCGGCTGAAGAAGGAGTTCACGGATAGGGAGGTGGTGGAGATCACGGCGACGGTGGCGGCATACAACACTGTCAGTAGGTTTCTGGTGGCGTTGGACGTGGGAGAGAAGAATGCGCAGGAGGGACCCAGTGCAGCACATTGAACTGCCCAGGTTGTAGACTTGAAAGAGTTTCAATTGTCGAGGGCGGGCCTTTAAATGACTTTGTTCGAGCCTTAACTCCACTTCACGGTATCAGGTGTTCAAATGACGTCCGAGAGGCTTTGCGATCTGGATTTTGGCAAAAATCATCCATACCAACAAGACCACTAGCTGCCCGACACATGTCAAATCGCTTCCCATCGAGACCGATGGGAGAGATTGTCCGGCCAAACCGGATAAATGGTTAGAGCAGACAGCCTCCAGCTTCTACCATTTGATAACAGTCGGACTGAAGCGTAGTACTCGGAAAGTCCCCATGATTCTCAACTTAGGAAAACTTCCGCACTTTTCGAATCGAGTCACATAAATCTTGTCCAGCAAGCCTTGATAATGTCTTGAGGTCACCACCCGATCAGCGCATTTCTAGCAACACTAGTCTCAATAATTGGGTTTTTCGCATAAGACCGGCGCAGTCTGGTGTATCAAATGAATGAGAAATTCTAGATTGGAACAGCTACTCGAGAACTATGTTTTGACAACGTGAGGTTAGCAAGCCGGTTGATAGGCACAGATGTTGGGTTTCTGCAACTGTACACAGCCCTTCTGGTCATTTGCCGTGCTATCCCCATCGGACTGCTTTGCCAGATACAGCTCGGGCAAGCCTTGAGTCAAAAAGAGTACTGCATTCGAAAAAACTTGAACCGAATAGTGAATGAGAGACAGGTATTCAGGTACCTTTTAGCAAAAAGTCTCCAGCCAATGAACTTTTGCCAACTGGACCTATGCATTTAAGGCTGCATGAGGCTTGCATATCGCAGCAACGTTGACTTCAACACTGTCTCATCCACCATACACGAAGTGCAACAGAAGAGCTGCTCAAAGGAGTGCAGAGCGATGTCATGCTAGCGAGAAGGAGCTCCCGCCGATACTTGCTTCGTGCCAGCGAGAAAGAATCCCATGCGACTCAACTATGGGAATTAAGCTTTCCCATGACCCTACAAGATTGGCATCTTCTCAACATCCTGTCAGACGTCCCGGAGTCGTTCTGGTACAGATAGCCGGGGCGTGAGCGCCTTTTACTGGTGTCCAGATGCGGTCCGCCGTTGATGAGGCGGAGTGGACTCGAATGGCACTTCAATGGAACGGCCCTACCTAGGTTGCAAGCTGAACCCGTGGACGCCTTCCACAACAGCTCGGCTTCGTCAATCAAGACCTCGGTGGTTATCTCGCGTAACGATCTGGTAAGTAATAGATAACTCACGCGGCGAATAGAAGTGTCAGGGTGTCCGGCAGAGGTTGCGGTGAAAGGCCTAGGCTCCGACGAGTTCCGCCGATTTATCGATTGTCACGAGCCACCACAGAATAAAGACTCGCCCACGACACTTTCAATCTCCTACGCAAACAACCGTCAGCAGTAACCTTCAAGACACTCCGGGCTTTCAGCACCATATCACTCTTCACAGATCCGAAAACCAGGGCCATTGCCCAGCCGTCAAGACGTTTGCCAATCTACTAAACTCGTATGTACCGCCGCCTCCAGCTTCACCATGTTTTCCCAGTCCGAAGTGATACAAATGGCCTGTGGGTGAATTGCACAGCAACACGGCTAATCATGTCCTGTAGGGTCCATCATCCCTTCGCCGGTCGACGCACTTCTTCCCCGGGAGGAGCATCGGCCATTCGCTACGTCAAATAAACCGCTACAGATACCTAGGTCTATCTAACACGATCAAACATGGCACCTCATGCGGATGACAGCAGCGACCTGGCGTATAGAAATGGGACTGGACCAACGAACGGGGTGTCCACTGGCAAAGATCTCTTCACTGTCAACTCTCCCAATGTTGAGTACACGGACAATGCTATCAAGAGCAAGTACACCTACCGCACCACCTCGGTCACTCAGGGTAGCGATGGCAAGCTCGTTGCTGTGCCGGAGGAGAAAGTCTATGACCTCAAGGTCGACCGAAAGCTGGGCAAAGTGGGTATGATGCTTGTTGGCTGGGGCGGGAACAATGGTACCACCGTCACGGCAGGCATTCTGGCTAACCGCCGTGGACTCGTATGGGAGACCCGCGAGGGCAAGCGTGCCGCAAACTACTACGGTTCGCTAGTCATGGCCTCCACTGTCAAGCTCGGAACGGATGCTAAGACCGGGAAGGAGGTTAATATTCCGTTTCACGATTTGCTTCCTATGGTACATCCGAACGATCTTGTCGTGGGTGGATGGGACATCAACGGGATGAACCTCGCTGATGCTATGGACCGAGCGGCTGTTCTGGAGCCCACCCTGAAGAGCATGATCAGGAAGGAGATGGGTACTATGACCCCACTTCCGAGCATCTATTATCCGGACTTCATTGCCGCCAACCAGGGCGACCGTGCGGACAACCTCTTGCCGGGCGAGAAGGCTTGTATGGGTCATGTTGAGCAGATTCGCAAGAACATCCGGTATGTTTCGAGACCCGTGATCGGGTTTCGCTGGCTCGCTAATCCAGTGATAGTGATTTCAAGTCTGCAAATGGCCTGGACAAGGTCATCGTTCAATGGACTGCAAACACTGAGCGTTACGCGGAGCTCATTGATGGCGTCAACGACACAGCCGACAATCTCCTGAAAGCTATTGAGAACAGCCACGAAGAAGTTGCACCTTCGACTGTCTTTGCCGTAGCATGCATCCTGGAGGGCGCACCTTTCATCAACGGTTCTCCACAGAACACCTTCGTGCCCGGTGCAATCGAGCTTGCAGAGAAGCATGGTGCATTCATTGGCGGAGATGATTTCAAGTCTGGCCAGACGAAGATGAAGTCTGCTCTGGTCGACTTCCTGATCAATGCCGGTATCAAGCTTACTGCCATATCGAGCTACAACCACCTCGGCAACAATGACGGCAAGAACCTGAGCTCTCAGAAGCAGTTCCGCTCGAAGGAGATCTCTAAGTCTACTGTCGTGGACGACATGGTCGCGGCTAACAATATCCTTTACAAAGAAGGCGAGCACCCGGATCACTGCGTCGTCATCAAGTACATGCCCGCGGTTGGCGACAACAAGCGCGCTCTGGATGAGTACTATGCCGAGATCTTCATGGGCGGACACCAGACCATCAGTATCTTTAATGTTTGCGAGGACTCTTTACTGGCTTCGCCTCTGATCATTGACCTTGTGCTTATCACTGAGCTGATGACGCGCGTTCAGTGGAAGGATGCCTCTTCCAAGGATTATCAAGGGTTCCATAGCGTGCTGAGCGTTCTTAGCTACATGCTCAAGGTAAGCAACCTGCCGCGCTAGAGGAACGGATAATTCTGACGTCTACAGGCTCCACTTACTCCGCCGGGTACGCCGGTCGTCAACTCGCTTGCAAAGCAGCGGGCTGCGCTCATCAACATCTTCCGTGCATGCGTCGGTTTGGAGCCCGAGTCTAATATGACGCTCGAGCACAAGATGTTCTAGTTGCGCGCTTTGTCGTGATGCAGGCTGCCAGCTGAGACAGATCCAACATCTATAGCTACAAGGCATAAGGTACGATGCACCTCAACGTGCAAGGTGAATTTGGTTATCCGTCGGAGTGCGGATTGCTCTTCCTTAATAGCACGCTCCTTTGAAGCTATGTAAACTCATCCGTTCAATCGCTGTGACACATCTTACTGAAAGTGATCTGTAAAGTGTTGTTTCGATGGTTTGCGTGATCTTTCTGGTGGCCAACCTACAATTTGAGGTTGCGCAAAACTCGCCTCCTATACCAACGTCACCTGCTCTCGTACCTCACCTCTCCATCCACCCTACTTCCCAGCGCGATCAATGGCACCTCAATTCCCCTCAATCGAGCAGTTCTTCGAAAAGCAATCATCTCAAAGCCCCAAAAAACGAGCCAGATCCTCATCTCCGTCCCAGGGCCGTGACGGGTTCACAGAAGCTGAAGTCGATGCCGTCCTTCATCCACCAGCCAACCAAACCTGGAGCCCGCCTAATGAGTACGAAGAGATCGATATCGCCGCACTGATACCAGGACCGAAGTGCGTCACGTTCGTGGGACGCGTCGCAAACTTCTACGACCAAGGCACGCCAAGCAAGAAGCCGAGAGCAGCGAAAGGCTGCGTCAAAATCATTGTCAAGGACGATACAGGCGCTTTGACGGTAAGACTGCAAGCCTTGCGGCGGCCGTTTATGAGACCTTGAGACGCGACGACTAACGCTCGATCGCGCTGCAGGTCCGGCTCTGGTACGCAAACAAGGACTACAACCTCCGCCTCGGCCACCTCGTCACAGTATGGACTCCGCACATCTCGCACAGCGACACAGGCCAGCTTGCGCCATCGAGCGCGCCGCTCTTCGCGAGCATCTTTCCGGAACGCGACCGGTCGTGCCACTTCATGGTGCATGAGAATAGCGACGAAGGCGTGCAGTGCAAGACGCCGCTGGGATACAAAGTAGGCCAACCATTGGCCGGCCTGATGACGCTGAAGAACTTCATCGAAGGAGGGTATGAGATTACGGACGGCAAGATTCTGGTTTGCGTGAAGAGCATTGGGCCGAGGAAGAAGTGTATGTATATTCTTTGTATCGTACTATGATTCTTCCACTACTCCCGCTTCAGTTGCGAGCTCACACAGAATCTACACAGTCACGACCAAAAAAGGCATTCCTGCTGAGAACGTGAACATCGGCGTCTTCGACGACACAGCGGAGGCCTCTCTGACTCTCTGGGGCTCCTCTGCCGCATCAGCGGGCGCTTGGAAGGTATCGCACACTATCCTGCTGATCACTGAGCCTGGGTGGAGAATTGATAAGAGGGCTTGGATCTCACTGACGAGCAGCACGCAAGTGGATGTTAATCCGGCTATACTGGACACGGAGTGGCTGAGGGGGTTTGCGCAGAGATTGACGAGAAGAGAGCATGTGAATCCGCCGTTTCCTGAAGGAGGTAAGTATCACACCGAACCCTTTCCATGCTTCTGGTACCGAGCTACTGCTGATGAACCAAGTGTTTGATACCGAGGCTGCGGAAGAGTCACAGGTCCGGATACTGTACACGCTCGCAGACATCGACGAGTTGTAAGTCAATCAGGCCTTCCAACAGGCCATGCATTGACATGTTTGCAGCGCTCGTACCGCACCAGGAGGCAAGTCTTCTTTCGGCCACCGTTCATTAGGTATAAGGCTGACATGTATCCAGAGAAGTTCATGGGCTACCTCAGCGTGATCATCATGGAGCTGAACATCACCTCCCTCCACCGCCGAAATATGCTCATGTGCACCGAGTGGTAATGGGTGCGTTGTGTCCTCTACTCAAGCACATTACTGACCACGGTTTTATCTTTCGTAGCTGCGGCGTGCCTCTCTACGCCAACGCAACGTCCGCCAAGTGCAAACAGTGCGATAAGGAGATAATTCTGCGTATCAACCCGAGACTGGTACGTGTCCTAACCTTTCCCTCGGATCTTCACCCGCACCTTATTAGAGTGTCTAATCTCGTTAAATTCTTCGCCTTCCCTCAGACACTATTCAACGATCTGACAACCCCATAGCTCGGGCCCCTAATCGATGAAACCGGCACCACCAGCACTGGGAAGCTGATCCTCTCAGCCGCGGCCTGGAAGCAGTTGCTGGGCCGCACAGCTCAGGAGCTCGTCGCTTCTGCCGCTGATATACTCAAGTATCTAGAGCAGAGGCTGCTGTTCGTGCGTGTTACGCTGCTTTTCGGCTGGATCGCTGAGGAGGGCGAGGGGGTGGGGAGGTTGTGCATCTGGGGAGTAAGGATGTGAGATGGAAAAGTCAGTAGGGCGGCAGTATGGAGAAGCACAAATGGCTGTGTTGCTGGTGTGAGGGGGTCTTATATCTTGCTTTGATTCCCAGAATTTGCTTGCTGTTCGCAATCTCGACGCTCACAGAACTACTACTAAGCTTGCACAATTCATTTGACCTTTTGCATTTCTATGTACCATCCAACAAAACGTGCTACCTCAATATCGTGCGTCGTTAACTATAAGCCGTTCTTCTCTACAGTGTTTCGATCAACCCCCGCTTCTTGCTGTCATCATGCGTCCCTGCGCTCGATGCACCGACGAGATCTGGAAACACGTCTAGATGAGCTGGGTAAACGCGCGGTTGATCGGCGACCGCAGCGGCTTGACATCCTTGTAGAAGTCCACAGTCTTAACGGCGCGCTTCGCGATGCCCTCTGGCGTGAACTCGAATTTCTGTTCCCATAGTCAGCAATCCATACTCAGACACCAGCGCTACTTCCTCAGTCATAAGCGGAGAGAGATTGTATGCACGAACCTTGTAAACCTCCTTATACGGGCCACTAGCACCAAACCTGTTAAGCCCAAACTGCTCATGGGTGTACTTCTCCCAGCCCAACGTGCTCATGACCTCCACAGACATCGCCGGAATACCATCCGGGATGACAGACAGCCTGTACTCCTTATCCTGAGCATCAAACACCTCAACACACGGCATCGAGACCACGCGCGCCTTGATGTCGTTGTTATCCTTGAGGTATTTGACGGCCTCAAGACAGATCGAGACCTCCGAGCCCGTCGAAACAAGCGTGACGGCCGCTTCCTTGTCCTCGAGCGCGACGTACCCGCCCTTGATGGCGTCCTGCAGCGTCGAGCCCTCGAGCTGGGGCAGGTTCTGCCGGGTCAGCGCGATGATAGAGGGTGTTTGCTTGGACGTGAGCGCCATGTAGTAGGCGGCGCTCGTCTCATTGCCGTCGGCAGGGCGCCAGACCATCATGTTGGGCAGGGCGCGGAAGTGCGCCAGGGTTTCGATGGGCTGATGCGTCGGCCCATCTTCGCCGAGCCCGATCGAGTCGTGCGTCGCGATGTAGATGACGCGCTGGTGCGCGAGCGAGGACAGGCGGACGGCGCCGGCGGCGTAAGAAACGAAGTTGAGGAAGGTGCCGCCGGCGGGGATGACCGTGCCGTATGTGGCCATCCCGTTCATCATGCCGGCCATGCCGTGCTCGCGCACGCCGTAGCGCATGTAGCGGCCGCTGTAGTCACCGAGGCCCAGGCTTGGGGGCTGGAAGTCAACGGCTTTCTTCCATCGGGTATTGTTCGAGCCAGTCAGATCGGCGGACCCGGAGATGAGCTCAGGAACGGCTTCGTGGATGGCCTCGAGAACGGACTCAGACAGCTTGCGCGAGGCAATGGCGGGGTCGGTCGGCTTATAGGTCGGCAGCTTGGTCTGCCAGCCCTCGGGAAGGTCGCGGGTTAATCGTCGCTTGAGGTCCTTGTGGAGCTCCGGGTGCTTCTCGCCGTACTTCTCGAAGAGCTTGTTCCACTCCTCTTCCGCAGCGGCGCCCTCAGCCGCATGCTTGTGGTACGCGTCGTAGACCTCCTGCGGGACAACGAATGTCTGCTCTGGGTCAAAGCCGAACTTCTCCTTGACGCTCTTGACGTCGTCCGCCTTCAACGGGTTACCGTGGACACCGCCGGTACCTTGGAGCTTTGAGCCGAAACCAATGGTCGTGGTGAGCTTGATCATCGACGGTTTGTCTTTGACTTCGCGAGCCTTCTTGATGGCCTCCTCCATGGCCTCAAGGTCGGTGTCACCCTTCTCCACATGTTGCACATGCCAGCCGTAGGCCTCAAATCGCTTCGAGACGTCTTCGGTGAAAGAGACGGCGGTGTCGCCATCTGTAATGTCAGGTCAGTGATTTCCATGGCAGAAGACATCACAACCCGCAGATCTTACCGATAGAGATGTGGTTGTCGTCATAAATGCAGATCAGGTTTCCAAGCTGCAAGTGACCCGCAGCGCTGGCCGCCTCGCTAGCAATGCCCTCCATAGCGCACCCATCGCCAAAGTAGCAGTATGTGTAGTTGTTGATCAGATCAAAGTCGGGCTTGTTGAAGATTGCGGCTGTGTGGGCTTGAGCAACGGCAAGACCAACAGCGTTCGCGAATCCTTGACCAAGCGGGCCGGTAGTGACCTCAATGCCGGGAGTGTCGTGGGATTCCGGATGACCCGGAGTTATGCTATCCACTTGCTGTATAGAGCGTCAGCCTGAGACCGATTGAATGTCAATCTCGCAATGCTGCTGTGCTTACGCGGAAATTCTTGATGTCTTCCATGCTCAGCTCAAAGCCGAAGAGGTGCAGCAGCGCATACTGGAGCATGCAGCCGTGGCCATTCCTGGCTAAAATCAGCTGCCTGATCACAAACATAGTATACGAGGGATGCCATCAGATAAAGCTCTATGAGGGATATCCAACGCAGCACCGGAGGGGATCCCAGGTTGATGTGCAATAGAAACACGTCCCATGGCTTCTCAGGGAGACTAGGTAAGACGTACGAAAGGACGAATCTGTCGCGGTTGACCCATTCGGGGTTCTTGGGGTTGAAGGTCATGAATTTGTTCCAGAGAACGTGAGAGATGGGCGCCATGCCCATGGGCGCACCGGGGTGGCCAGAATTGGCTTTGAACGTCGCATCGACCTATGTAGATACATGTTGTCAGCCATTGAAGTTCCGTTGTGCTCTTGCGGCAAGCTTTCCAAGCTGTTTTCGCATTGCAAGGCGCTGAAAAGCTGTTGAGGGGCCCCAACTTACGGCGAGCAGCCGGATGGTGTTGATACAGAGCTCATCATGCTTGTCGTAACCCATGATTGCGGTGCACTCTTGAATGGATCTGGGTATGGTTTTGGATGAAGGAAGGGAAGGTGTCTTGGTTTGCAAAGCTCGGAAATTGAAGTTTGAGTTGGGCCGTTGCGTATCTGTGCAATGGTGGGAATGATGGTGGGGCAGTGAGCCTGGCGGGGCGCGAAATGATGTCGGCGCGGCACAGATGCGGCCGCTGGAAACGGAAAATTTGGCCGGCGATGACTTGACTCAGCACGGGCAAATTGCTTACGCGACTACAGTGATAGAGCAATTGGTAAGACTAGCTTATGCTTGAAAAGCCTCACTTGTAACCCATTTGCGGTGAAGCTACAAGTCCCATCAAATCTTTACGATGCCGGTCATGCCAAACGGCTTACCAAGATCCATGTCCCCGGACGAAGCTCCTCCGAATGCTCATCGCCGCCGCTATAAGTACAACCAATGCCAGTGTGAAAACCAATAGAAGCACCTCCCCTATATACCTTGCTTTTAACCAAACGAGTGGGTATCATGTGCCTCCAACCAAGCGGCCACACCGTCATTGCGTGTCCGTGTAAATACAAGTCCAAAAAAGGGTAATATACAAAGAAGAGAAGACAAAGGACAATTCAAGTTACAGAGATGAACAGGTCGTCTCCTCGCTTCGTCGGAGTCAGTTTTGGCGCCCACAGGGGACTTTTCACAAGCATCTCCATACCAGGACTCTTCTGGCCGTTCCATTGCAACTCCACACTGCCAGCATTTGAGGACTGGCCATGGCTGTGGCGGTGAGCAACTCGAGTCTTGGCGGCTTGATACCGAGAGTACTGGCCGTTGAGGAATTGATCAAGAGCATCATTGCTGTTCGTCTGCCGATGCCCTCTAGTACTGTTGGTGGCATTGCTGGTGCCTCGGGCGTGTGAGCTCATGCTTGCGGAATTCGAGTTGGTGATCCAGAGTCGCTTTTCGAGATCGTGGGCCGCAAGATCTCCTCGACGCTTGGCAAGCAGTGTAGGCGGGTGAGAATCCTGGTGCTGTGGTTGCTTCGGGCTCCGTGGGCTTCTGGGACTCCTAGGCACAGCCTGGTTCGAGGCGCGCGGTACCTTTGGATATCTGAGTTTGGAGATGGGCGATTCTGCCACCGGTGATAGCTGCTTGTCGTTCTCCTCTTCAGGCGTTGGATCATGCGGGTCGGCGGACTCGAAGGATGTTTCTGAAGCGCAAGAGTCTCGTGTCGCCCTTGACACTGTCCTCGGCGGCTTCTTGTACGGGACATAGCGGTCTGAACAGTCGGCAGTTGTAGGTCTCGACGTCGGCGCGGACACAGTCAATGTAGCTTCCGAAGCCGTGTAGTAGTCAGGAATATAATCTGCACTACCTCCAGCTTCGCTGATGGGCACAATGGATGAATTGGCGGGACTCTCGCTGAAAGTAGTATCAGTTCCGGATCTGCTAGGCGGAGAAAATTGTTGAGGCTGGTTCGAAAGCCTGAGCGGCGCTGGAACAACATTCGCATAGGTCCTGGGCCGATGACCAGGAACCACTAGTGTGAGAGATGGTCTTCGGACGTCTTCGGGGCTGACTGTGTATTTATCCAAGTACTGAGGGGTTTGGGACGTGTTGAGCGCTTTGGAAAGTCGGTGATGAGATGGCGGCACGTATTTCTCTGGGAATATGGACTTTCGAATAGGCCTGTCTTCTTCGAAAACCGTCATCTCGCTCGGCGGCCGTTGAGATACTACTGCTGCAGCCGGCGGTGCTGGGTCCGGCTTGTCCGGCAGGAGCTTAGACACAGTTCTTACGCTCGCAACGCTAGCTGGAGAATGTGAGTGCCTGATTTCTGGACTGAGCGCAACGCCGATAGCTTGTGGATCCACGTTAGATTGCTGCCAACTCCATTGCGGCTCCGTTGGCTTATGATTAGGTTGACGATGCTGAATCGACGTTGCGCCAGCGCTGCCAAGACCGTCGTCTGGGCCTTTGACAGTGTCTTTTGGCGGTGGCGGCAGATAGTTTGGGGAAGCTTTCCGGTGATTTCCAACTGGTTTCTCACTGCGAGGCTCGTCGGCATGCTTGTCGCGTCGCTGGAGACATGCCAGTAGACAAAGAAGGCCGACTGTTATAGCAACAGCAGCGACCGCAGCGGCCGATATCCCTGCAATCTGCGCTATCGACAGTGACTGGGCTGCCGTACTACCCGACGCCGTAGTAGAGCTCGTTGCGGCGACAGTCACGCTCGGCTGTCCTGGGGCGGTGAGGAGGCCGCTCTGGCTAGGGACCGCTACAACAGTAGTACTCATGCTCGACTGAGTGGTTGATGTACTGAGGCTACGTGTTGAAGATGCTGGTGAAACTGTGCCCGCTGACCGCGATTCGGTAGTTGCAGTGCTAGTAAACAGAGCGGTAACGGTCAAAGTTGCGTATGTCGGCACTACTGCGTTGGATCTCCCGTCACATATTCCATATACCGAACTCTCGGTAGATTCTGCTTCTTTCTGACACTCAGAGTATACGCAGCTGAGGGCGGCCTCTCCAAGTGTATATCCTGACCTTCCGTACTGAGAGCAAAGGCAGTCAAGATCCCCCTGCGTTGAACACGACAAAGGAAAATTGTTATTAAGAAAGTTGGTAAGGCAAGATCGAGCACAAGGTGGTACAGTAAGCTGAAATGGCGGTGGTACGGCGGTCGAAGTAGGCTGCGGAGAAGATGTTGATGCTTGAGATGTTACCACGAGATGGGACCGCGGACCTAAGAGCATATCGTACAGAGTCTGGAAGGTACATGACTTCAGTTTCGTATCAGAGCAAGGCTGCTTGGGCGTTACTGACCTGCAACAGCTAGAGAGCATTGGATCAAGGAAACAGAGAAGGAAAAGCCGATCAACAGCCTTCTAACATTAGAGAAAGACGAAAAATGGAAATAACAGCAAGGAAATTCGTATGCCGTGCTCGTCTCAGGAGACGTGTATTGTTTAATGAGCCTACCTTTGGCGCTGGCAAGATGGTTATGTATCTCGCATGCTCCAGGCGCCCAACAACATTTCGACGCTTCGACGCGCCGGTACATCGTCATAACGTGCAGCCCTACACCGTGCGGCTGCAGGTTAGCGCTCTGTACAGGTTTCGGTGTTGTTGTAAGGGGATACTCTGGCAACGGTGATGCGGAGCTGGTGTTGGCGTAGTGCGATTCGCTGCTTTGGCGCTTGCCGGAGTCTGAGTTCGGTCTAGCGGCGAAGCACGTGCCCTGCAGGATGTCTCCATGGGCTCTCTTGAGCGCGTAGCAAGTGCCAATGGTTCGGCGACCTGCTCTTCAGGTTGACTCCGCGTTGAGGTGAAACCATTCCAGTAGCAGCTGGCAAGGCTGCGGCGCTGATGATGCTATCTGATGACTCTGGCGCTCGTGGTCCTGAGTCATCCCTCAACGGTGCAATGCTTCTTTTTACTCATTAGCTCGAGCGGTGTGAACTAATGTTGCTGCCAGTTCTGCGACATGAGCGCAGCAGCGCACCGCTTGCAACTCACAGTCACTGCTTGGTTGCGCTCATTGTGTTCCCGTCCTGCCCTTTCCATCATGTTTGATCAGCGAAGAAGCTGTGACAACCTCACACTGCTGGTTGCAAGAGACAACACTAACAATCTTGAGAGCACGTGATCGATCAGCAAGACTCTGGGGCTCACAGGCAGTAGCCTGAGCTCATCAAGGGATGGAAGCCGCTTTAGTTGACTTGTTGAAAGTGGTCCTGCGCGACACCGTTTACAATTACCTCATCACGTCTTAATTCTCGTCATGTAGGCTGCAAGCCTCAGGATCCTTTTGTTCAGGTCAAGGACGCGTTCAAAAGCTTTCAAGCAGCGGCTTATCTCCCACAGAGGCAAGCGTAACTGCTTTCCCGTCAAAGCTGTAAGCACGATCCTCGTCCGCATCGAGCTTTCCACAACTGGAGTCTTGGCCAGAACATCAAAACGAACGATGCAGGGTCATTCCTTCCTTCAGGGGCTGTCTTGAACTCCGACTGAGTGAGCAAGCGTACGGCCCTCAGCATTCGGCGCACGCGCGCCTCTTCAACAACACCACGGGGTCTCCTTCCGCCGACTCAAACTACTATGGAAAGCCACCACTATATGGTCAAGCTCTGCAGAGCTTTGATGAACTATGGCGCCCCGAGCCATCGGCTGGAGGAATACATGTCAACAACAGCACGCAGTTTGGGCATCCAGGGCCAGTTTCTTTACCAACCCGGGTGCATGATACTGGCGTTTGACGATCCACTAGGCCATACCACGGCTGTAAAGCTTGTACGCACCGGCGGTGGGCTCAACTTTGGAAAACTGGAAGACGCATACAGGGTCTACAAAGACGTCTTTCACGGTCGGATGACGGCTGCACAAGGCGACCGACGCCTGACTGAGATCGAATTTCGTCGAACCGGCATTCATCGACGATACCAGATCGCCATGTACGGCCTGGCATCGGCTTCGGTGGGACCTTTCGGCTTCCAAGCCGGGTGGAATGACCTCCTCTGGTGCTTCGGACTCGGCTGCATCGTCGGCCTATTGGTAGTCAAAGGCGTTCCGCGCTCCAACCGATTCGCAAACTTCTTCGAGTTCATGGCTGCTGCCGTGACATCCTTCATCGCCCGGGCCGTAGGCAGCATCGACGACGGAGACCTCTTCTGCTTCTCTGCGCTGGCTCAGTCTAGCATCGCTCTCATCTTGCCCGGTTACATATTCCTTCGCGCATTGGTGGAGCTGCAATCAGGGTCCATCCTATCGGGCTCTGCGCGCTTGGTGTATGCCGTAATGTACTCCTTCTTCCTCGGCTATGGTATCACCGTGGGCACCGTATTGTACGGGTTGATCGACAGGGACGCCATATCAGAAACGACGTGTCGACGCCCAATACCCTGGAGGTGGCAACCTGCGTTTGTAGTGGCATTCACATGTTGCTTGATCATCATCAACAGGGGGAGATGGAAGCAAGCACCCGTCATGGTGGCGGTATCGCTGGGTGGCTGGGCCGTCACCTATTTCAGCACCCGGGTCGGCCTGAGCAACGCGCAGATCAGCAGTACGCTTGGTGCGCTGACGATAGGGCTTATGGCCAACGGTTACTCACGGATCTGCGACGGGTTCGAGAACAGGACGCTGAATTGGTGGGATATGCAAGTACGAACACGGCTGCACAAGGTTAGGGTCTGGTGCGTTCTGCTATCTTTCACCAGTCTCGTGGCACCCTCTCCGTCTCCTAATCGTTACCAGGCTCCATTGTTACTCTGGCTTCAACGGTCCCGCCGCCTCCAATCTGACCGAAGAATACTCCCCGCCAAGACGACGCAAGGACGGTTACGCCCTCGCCACCACCGCGATGCTTCCAGCGATCTTCGTCCAAGTTCCCTCCGGGCTCGCGGCAGGCGGTTCGCTGGTCGCCGGCATCATTACGGCGAACGGCATCACCCACCCCGCTCTGGTTAGGACAGCAATGGCCGCCGGCGTAGAGCAGAACGCGGTGATTCCATTGAATTTGGCCGCATTTAGTGTCGGG